TGTTGACATTCTTGAGACTTTAAAATGTTTCTCACAGTCACACAGTCCCTGAGTATGTGTTTGAAAACCACTGCATTAAAGAATCTTTAATGAAATGTTCTGAATATTAATTGAAATGTTATGAAAGTAGTTCTTCTATGGCATTGCTCCAAACCCTTTTTATAACCTATCTTTCTTAGAGTACATTCAACTATGAAGTTATTCAGGGCAAAAAATAGGAAAACTCATTTCTGGCCAGTAATTCAGTCACTGTACCTGAACCTTCCTAAATAAAGTTGAACTGACTGAAGACAAAACCAAAAGCAAAAAGACTCACCTACAAAACATGTTTAACATTATATTAATTTGTCCTAATATTATCCATTTGTCCAGTTACCCCCATGAAATTGGGCACTATAGTATAAAAGTGAAGTGATTCCTATGTGCTTCCACCAAGGCAGATGTAAATACTCTTGAATTAAAGCTAACATTATGCATTTAACCTCATAACCATTCTTTTATTTCTAATCCAATGAACATACTCATTGTTGTAAACAATAACTGTGTCACTGTTCAATTACTTACGGCCTGCGTTGCATATATCTACATGTTAAAGCAGTGTAGTGCAGTGTGTGACCCTCTCGCTTCATTTCCAGCGCTGGGTGAGGTAAAGGAAGAGTGAAGATGAAGATCATTCGAGCGTAAAGGCGAGCGGAACATGCTAACAAGCCTCAGAAGTAAATCATTTAGTACCATGGAGCTCAAATGTCACAGAGAAGTAGGATGGACCCTCACATTTCATATAATCACATGTACTGTAGAGAGTGCGGTGCTGTATAGAAGATCCACACAGATTAAATCAAAGTGTCCAGGCCTGTTAGAGAAACTCTATTGGACATAGTCATAATAGCCATCAGTGGGTCAATGAACACATGAACACTGTAAAAAAATCCAACTTAACAAAAGTTTTTTGTCATTTTCTTATCATATTTTTATCAAGCGTACAACTTATTATCCTTAATGGAGTTCTAGAGTCAGAATTGTGGTGTGGTTCTAGAGTCAGAAAAGTGGTGGTGACAGGAACCAGACATCCACCTCTGAAAGCTCCTTCACAGAAGGTTATTACATGAAACGGTTATGAATACGTTGCCTGATGCCAGAGACATCGTTTTATGATAGTTTTGATATCAGGTTATGGACTAAAGCATTTTTTTTTTGTAATTTGTTTATGGTGGAGGGATACATGCAGGGTGTTTTAAGGGAAAATAGTCCCCAAAGAAAAACAAATTTTCAGATTTACTGCTATTTTACCATCATCAACGTTACATATAAAAACTCAGAAGACACATGTAGGTTCATTGGTGGTTTTCGATAGTAAATAAAGTTCCTATATTTGTGTTGTAGTCCCCTGGTTCCTATCACCACCACTGTAAAGTTTCTCTACAATGAACCATTTCACTGCAAAAGACTCTGATCTCATCAATTTAACCAAGGAGACCACTTGAAAAATCAGTGGAATTCCTTTTTGGTGTTTTTTGGTGATACCAAATGATTAGATTAGATTAGATAGAATAGGACATGCCACATACCACAGCATGCTAGGCAATTTATGAATACATTAAATACTTAAATACGAATATATTTGCAAAAATCTGAAGGCTTTCTTGATGCTTTCTTGATTGTATTGTGGGCAGTAGGCCTGTGAAAAAGTGTGTAAGCTAACCTGGTGAACACTGTGTCCTGCAATGTCAAAACATCAGGATATTACTGACAGCACTGCCATCATCATCCTACCTATTCCAACAGTTCTACCCTGATACAAACTGATACAAACATAATATAACCAGTTTAAATGAGACAGCTGATGTAAAAAGATGAGCAGAAACAGCACAGCAAACTTTAAAAACTGAACCTCATCATCCCAGGCTAAAGCATACTGCCACAGCAGATTTAAACACTGGTGCTCTGATGATGAACTGAAGGCATGAGGCAATGGCGTTTAGAAACAGTAACTGAAGGGCTGAGAAAATAAGGCTGAGCTTGGCAGAGAGTCTAACAATTTGATTGGCCATACAATTGTGACAGCACAGAAAACAGATCACATCTGACAAAATATTCTCTCCCTGTTTGATAGGGTGGGCCTGTGATCAGTCTGCGTGGGCTGATTAAATGGCAGGAATAGCTATTATTAGTGCATATGATCTTACCCATTTTTTGTATGTCTTAACTTTGTGTTTACTTTTGTCGGGGCTGCTGTTTGGGTTTGCTCTCTCTCTCTCTCTCTCTCTCTTTCTCTTTCTGTCTCTAACCCTCTCTCTCTCTCTCTCTCTCTCTCTCTCTCTCTCTCTCTCTCTCTGTCTCTCTCTCTCTCTTTCCTGGTGAATGTAAACCTCCAGAGAGTCGGCCATGTGCAGTGATGATGAGGATGAGCTAATGTGGCAGAACCCTCACTGCATACAACCCCACAGCGCGCACAGACACACACACACACACACACACACACACACACTCTGGAGGCCACGGCTGATTGTCTCTCTTGCATTTATGCACTTTCTCTCTCTCTCCTGACGACGCACTCAAGTTTGGTCACTCTTTCTTCCTCGGTGGCTCAATCTCACTTTAATTTTCCTTTACACACACTCTCTCTCTCTCTCTCTCTCTCTCTCTCTCTCTCTCTCTCTCTTTCTCTCCCTTTCTATCTCTCTTTTTCTCTCTTTCTCTCGCTGTTTGTTTTCTTTTTCTCATTCTTTCTCTCGCTCTTTTTCTCACTCTCTGTTCTCTTTTTCTCTCTCTGTTCTCTCTTTCGTTCCTCATTTTTCTCTTTTTTAAACATTCTTCACTTTCTGGTCTATCTCTCTCTCCTGCTCGCTCTGATTTCTTTTTTTCTCTCTCTGTTCTCTCTCTATCTGCTCTCTCTCTCTCTCTCTCTCTCTCTCTCTTTCTCTCTGTCTGTGTATGTGTGTGTGTGTGTGTTCTTTCTCTCTCTCGTTCCCTCTTGCTCTCTCTTTCTCTCTCTCTCTCGCTCATTTATCTCTGTTTTAAGCGTTCTTAAGCAGTTCAGTTGGATTTCATGCAAGTTTCAGCATCATGGTAAGTCTGTCTTACTGAACTTCTGTGTGTGTTTGTATGTATGTTTGCATGTGTGTGTGTGTGTGTGTGTGTGTGTGTGCGTGTATGTGTGTGCATGCGTGTGAGAAGGACTGAGTGTGTAAGAGAACAGCTGTGTGAGTTTTGTCAGTGCTGGCGCCAGGATTGCCATTTTAGGTGGGCACCACAAATCCATGGGTGGGCTGAATTTGAATTGCAGTAGGACAGGCTGATAGGCTTCAGCTAAGCGTTGTTCAGGCAGTGCAGTGGGAAGAAGCTGCAGTAGGAGACCACACTCAGCCTCACACACAACTGACTCTGTGGGTGTTAAGAAAACAAGTTGATATTAATTGAATTGACTTGTTTTTAAAATGTACATAAATTATCAACTTCGAAAAAATGAAATAATGTTTAATCAGACAGTCAATCAAGCCAAACAGGCAGAATGATTTACATTCCAAGCCTAATGGGATTTCTACCTGCTATTGTATAAGTATTCAATGGGTATTCAAAATGACCACCTTTAAACCAACTCAGGGAAGATAAGCTGGACCAACGTAAGTTAATTCAACACTAGTAAATCAACTTCAGTTGACTTTAATGAGCTGAGTTGTAAATGTGAAAACAGATGAAGTTCAGCCAATTTTACTCTTTTATGTTGAATCAGTAAAATTGCTTTATTTTAAAAAAAAAGATTTAAGCAGTTATGATCTTGCTTATTTAATTGCTGAGGGCAGGCCTACATACTTTATTTGAATCTTGTATTAAGGTGAGTCAATGCACCATTAAGAACTTAAAAGCATGAGGTGGAATTCCCTCCTCTTTCTGTGCTGTTCTCAGAGTTGTATAACTGTTACTGTGTTTATCTGTTCCTATACTGAGCTCTCGGCTACTTTCATGCTTAAAACAAGTCGTGTTCATACACTTCCAGTCCTTAAATCCACCTAATTTATCTCCACAATACAGGCAGTTTAACTGTTAATGCAAAACTCGAAACTTATACTCACAACCAGTTTTGATTGGTCTTCCTATGTTTATTAGCCATACTGATTGGACAGCAGATAGGACCTTATAACAGCAACTAAGTATGTAATTTTCAAGAAGAAGCCTTTATGTTTTAAAACATACACTTGTTTTTTCACCACTGCAACAGAGATCAGCACTAAATGATTTACTATATGTACTTAACTCGTAACTGACAAAAAAGATCCTTATAATTCTACTCCCACAGTGTCCAGATTCAGAGCCATAAACTGGACATTTGAGATTGATAGCATCTTATTTACCTGCTATGTACAGTTTCAAACAAAGTTTTGCTGTTATTTTGTTGGGTAGAGTCAAGAGAGTCTGATATGTTTTGTATTCAGTGACTCAACGGCTACCATTAACATAACATAACAAGAGACTCTCAATGAACTTTGGCATATGCTCAGTAGTTATAGTGATGTACAGTCTTCTCTAGATATTACAAGTGCATTGTGGGAGATTGTAGTACAGTCAAAATCAGAGAGTGGACTTCCATTTTATAATCTGAAGTAAAATTTAAAAAAAAAAATATTCCAGACTGACTCAGTAGTGCCTTCTGATTCTGAGAGCAGTGATGATTTTAGCGTGCAGTTTACATCAGACAGTCTGTGTACTTCTGTATTCAGAGTGCCTGAAAATTAAATTTACTGAAATACAGCTTCTCTTACACCTCAAACCGCAGCATCTGCTGCCCCACCCCTTTTTAACAAGCTACTAACATCATACTTTTCACAAACGTCTGTAATTTTATTATTATTTTTTTTTTAATATAGTAATGACTCATCAACTACTTTTTTAAATGACTTGCTGGTCAGTAAAAATGAATAGTCGTGCAACCTCCAACAGCCATGCCAACCACACAAATATAGATGTGTGTAGCTCTCTACCGCTCTGTGTTTGTGTTTCAGAGTGAGGATAAAGGTGTTGTTGAATCAGCTCCGAGATTACCACCCAGGAAATCCGTACACACTCCCACCCACACTCCACTGCGGGACCCAGCACACACACTCCAGCACGGCAGCACAGTCAGAGACTCCGAGAGAGACGGTAAGAGTGTGTGTGTTTGTGAATGTGATGAAATGTGTGATTAGAAAATCTCCTCTCTACATATATGGGTCATATTTTATACAGTCATGTGAAAAAGTTTGAGCACCCCTGGTCAATTTACATGGTTATGTTGATTTTCTAAGTGAACGTAAGTGAACACAATCTCTACAGAGAACACAATGAAATATGACATTTTCTGCTAATTTAATGCACAGTTCCTATTTATTGGCTGAGTTGTTCCAATATGTTGGGAAAAAAAATAAAATGAATAAATAAAATCAAATCTGTACAGGCCACATTTTCCCCCCAATCTGCTGCTCTTTTGTAATTCATATTTATTATATTTGAGAAAGACTCTTGGACTTATTACCTTTTAAATAAGCCAGTGCTTTGACACTAAGGTCAGGTTTGTGTGCATTCAAGAGTTTAAGTTTGTGCATAAACAGTGTGCATTTGTGCGTGCGTGTGTGTGTGTGTGTGTGTGTGTGTGTGTGCGTGTGTGTGTGCGTGTGTGTGTGTGTGTGTGTGTTTAGAGTCAGAGGTGTCATCTTGTGCTCGTCTCAGTCTGACTGTAGGCATTAATTTAATGATTCACTTGACTGAGCACATTAATGGTTTCAGCTTTGTGTGTGTGTGTGTGTGTGTGTGTGTGTGTGTGTGTGTGTGTGTGTGTGTGTGTTTATGTTGATTATTTAAGAACGTCTAAAACAAGCAGAGAGCCTCCCAGATATCTCCAAGTGCCTACAGTGATGTGGAATTTAATGCCCGCTTTGCTCACACAGACTGATCCACAATCAGACTCATACATGAGGATGAGGAAGAAAAAAGTCCAGCTCAGCTCACAACCATGTGGAATGCATAGAAATACAATTATACATGCACTGTAAGGAATTTCTGTAGGTTCTACAATAATGTACTATATTCAAGCCAGTCCCCTCTAGAAAAACCAGCATAGACCAGATGCTGGCATGCTGGGCAACCAGCATGTCCAGACGTTCACATTATCAGGCTGAAGTGGCAGAGGTGTGTATAGACATATCTGTTCTTTTCAAATCCAACCTGAGCCACTTTCATATGTGCTCTTAGATCAGATACATATCCGATTTGTGGCCAAGCGACCTTAATGAGAATTCATGTGTTTTTTTTTTCACTGTGCACACGCCACCATTCAGTGTTGACATGGCTGCAGCGCAGACCTAAAATTAGTGTCCGAAAAGGCTACAAAAGCAACGCACCTGACTCGTTTTCACCTTTGCCTCACTCTAATAATGAACAGCTGAGAGCAAATTATCTTTGCAGCAAAGGCTTGCTCTACTGGTTAGTTTGTTTGCACTTCATGTAACTGATTAGGATGTGCACATGCGGGTCATTTCAGGATGCAGGTTTGTTCACATTAATGACAGATTTGAATTACTTACCCACACGACTGTGAACCATCATGTTAGAGAGGTCAGATCTGAGCAAAAAATCAGATTGGAGCAATGATGGTTGTAATGTGAACGTATGGATATGTCTGTATAAAGCAGACTTTAAGGTAGAAACTTCCACTTTGTGAGGATTGTTTCTTTTTGTAAGTACCTGATTACTCCTGCCATGATAATGCTAATTTCAGCTGGCTGTTAGATTCAGTCGATATGGGATTTGCAGGGTCATGTTAGCACCAAGCTAACGGTGGTGCACATTGACCGTCCCATATCAAGTACAATTTAATGCAGCTGAAGCTTAAATACTGACTTTTGTGCTTGTTTTTTTTACTTTGAATTTTACAGTTTTCAGTATTTTGGTAAATATTCAACTTCAAGCCTAACTGTGAGTGTTATTAGAGGAGCATCTTACCATGTTAGCTTTTGAATTAATGACTTTTTATATTTCTGAAATGAAACAATTTCTTATTTTGTTTGGATTTTTGGCATTTTTAAGTATATTTAAGAAACCTCATGATTTTGAAACTGCTTTGAAACTCCATAACAGCTCTTTTGCTGATGTGGAGTTTGTTTGTAATGACTAGCTTCTTCATCAGCGTAGAGATTTCGTATTAGAACAAAAGGCCTCATTAACCAACTGTTCTTAAGAAGAATTTTGTTCATAAAAACCACTTACACAGTTTACACGAAGATTCTGATATTCACCAATGTTTTCTTTGTTCTTGGGTAAAAACAGAATCTACACACACTCAAGAGCACCAAGGTGTAAACAATTCTGCTGTTTAAGAACACGTCATGAATCTGACGTAGACTTTTTCTTAAGACCTTTCTCAGGAACACATTTAAGAAGAAACTAAGCAAGATGCTGGTGAATGAAGCCCATTGTTGTCCATCATTTTACTTGGTCAACACATTCAAGGGCTTTGATGTAGCCAGTGAAGCATATATTGACTTGGAAATTGTACTATAGTTGGCACTCTTTCTTGTCTCATTTGATATTTAATATAAATTGACCTCTTCCAGGAATATAAACTGACCTGACTATTGATAAGTGGCTATTATTAGCCACTAGCCTGTACAAAATTAAGCAGATTATTTTTGTTAAACGTGTCACCATTAGAAGTTTTCCTAAGATGTCATTCAGATGTATGTTTATTGTATAAGCATATACAGAACAGGCTCGTTCTAAAAGCCTTACAGTTCCCGGAAATATATCTATATTTGTTCTGTAAGCAGCGAAGCTAAAGATGTTGCGATGCCACTTTTTCTTTCCTGTATAGCAATATTGAAACCTTGAATATTGGCTGATACCAACACTGATCTGATCTGACCAAGCTTTAAAATTGGCTGTTGAAGCACTTCACGATGATCATCTATGCAGTGTGACCCTGAGAAATGTTATGATAATACAGTATCATGGGGCATTAAACCTTTGAATTTCAAATGAGTATTCAGTGAACCAAGTTTTATAACTCTGGAAATTCAAATTGCGTTTAATGTGGACCTCACTGATTCAGATTCAAACTCAAATTTATGATGAAAATGATTTACTTTTTGCTTGAAAGTTTATATGAGTGACTAAACTGAGCTGAGATGAGCAAGAAATTAAGAAATGAGAAGACCATTCACAGCGCACTATCTGTACTGTGTTCCACTGATACAGCGTACATGCACATGTGAGTGTGACTATGTGTGTGTGTACGTGTCATAGAAAGTTAAGGGAACAGATTGCTGCTGTAATGCTCTCATGAATAAAGTAGAGCTCACCAGAGGCCATGTTAGCGTGTGTGCGTAGGTGCATATGTGCATAAAAGTCATTCCACATCCTCTTTCCTTCCATATGCCTGGACGGAAGCCCAAGCACTGAGACACACAGATGGACAGGGACTTGTGTGGACTTGATAGCTGCACTAATAAGTCCACTAGGGGGTGCTGAAGGCAGCTGCCGATCAGTTAAAGACAGTGCCTGAAATAGAGTGGCAGTAAAAACTGCAGTGAACAGGCAGTTTTGTGCTGTATTAATGTGAAAGTACTACAAAAGATGAAACCAATTCCACTGCAAGCTGCGTAACGTCACTCTGAAATACAGGCCTGTAAGCCAGGCTGCCATCTCTGAAAGAAAAGGGAATTGACTGAAATGCAAAACATCACAGAACATTTTGTGTGATGCGTGCATAACAAAAACAAACTGCTGTTAGATAAAGTGGAGAAGCAGCCGACAGATGCATGGCCACATATGGTTTCAAACAACATCAAGGAACAACTTCTTAAATCGGGATAGCATGAGTGTTCAGTGACTAAGCTTCGATTTCACTCTAAAAGCATTATAGCTTTGACGTCGCTAAAAGTGATATTTTTGTTGTGGTGATTGTTGACATTGCTGATAGTGATGTTTTTGTTGTGGTGATTGTTGACATTGCTGATAGTGATATTTTTGTTGTGGTGATTGTTGACATTGTCACTACTGATAGGGATGTTTTTGTTGTGATTATTGACATTGTTATTGCTATAGTGATGTTTTTGATGTGGTGATTGTTGAAACTGTCACTGCTGATAATGATTTTTTGTTGTGATTGTTGACATTGTCTTTGCTGAAGGTAATGTTTTTGATGTGGTGATTGTTGACATTGTCACCGCTGATAGTGATGTTTTGTTGTGGTGATTGTTGAAATTGTCATTACTGAGAGTGATGGTTCTGTTTTGGTAATTATTGATATTATCATTGGTAATAGTGATGTTTTTGTTGTGGTGATTGTTGAAATAGTCATTGTTACTCTTGATGTTTTTGTTGTGGTGATTGTTGACATGTCATTGCTACTCTTGATGTTTTTGTTGTGGTGATTGTTGAAATCGTCATTGCTGATGCTGATGGAGATGGAGAAACTTTTAAATTCTATTTATAGAGCATGTTACAGTTTGTACAGCTTTGTCTACATTTGTCTAGCAGCTTGTGGTACTTTTAACTTTTTTTTTTTCCTCCACCACCCCACCTCTTTGGAGGATGACTTTATTGTTTATTTTTATAATACAGTTAGATTTAAAAATTAAAAAAAATAAATAAATAAAATCAATAATTTTAACAATTATTTGTCATTGCTGAAAGTACTGTTTTTGTTGTGGTGACTGTTGACATTGTCATTGCTTATGTTGTCTGAAGGTGGTTGTTTACTGTGTTGTAGTCAGTCCTGACTGCCTCGTTAGTTGTTGTCTTACAGTATGTGGCCTAAGCTGTTTATGTATTTGTGTGTTCTTTGCTTAGTTGGGCAACTCTCATCACAGTGGATATCCTCAGCACTGAGAAATGGACACCATGAAACTGTAGCAGAAGGCCACACAGTGTGTGGAACAAGAGCACAACACAGGTAAGTGTGTGTGTGTGTGTGTGTGTGTGTGTGTGTGTGTGTGTGTGTGTGTGTGTTTTACTAGAGTTTGTGAGTTTGGACGATGCCTTTAATATAATAGTATTAGTATGAGGGAATACTGTGTGATTGAGGGAGGGGAGGGATCTCTGAGAACTTGGGCTGGAGTTTTGATCGGCTTCTCCTTGGAGCAAGAAGGCCAGAGCTCCCATTCCCTACTGTTGTGGATGGTGTTAGGACTGACAGGAAATTGCAAAAACTTAATCACAAGAAATGGAAGGTATAGATGGGAACTTATAGGCCTCTTGGAAGCAAGAAAGGTTTTAGACATGGTCCTCCCTATAGTTATTTTCTGCGTGTGTATTCTGTGTGTATGTGTGTGTGTGTGTGTGTGTGTGTGTGTGTGTGTGTGTGTGTGTGCGTGTGTGTGTGTGTAGTCTGCAGTTGTCTCTCCAGGAGCTGATTAGCTGGCTGGCAGTAAAAAAGGCAGAGCTTGAGGAGCCGTGGCCTCTGGGAGGCGATCTTAAAACACTTCAACATCAGAGACAACAACACCAAGTAATAACACACACATACACAGAGAAACAGGCACAAATTTGCTTTAGACTTGTTTATAGTAAACACCCAACGTCCAAAGGCTGTCTGTCTCAGATGCTCCTTCAAAAGAGATACTATGTGTTAGTAAGTTAACACGTTATCTACAGGGAACTTAATGTAAGACAAATATAACATGCCAGAACTTTTGCACAGGCCACATTTTTTTCCTAATGTGCAAATCTCAACAAAATGAACATCAATTATTTATTTATTATGAATTAAAACATGAGAAGTGTTCTCTGTAGAGAATGTGTTGTTTAATTTTCACTGAGAAAATCAACAAAATGTCATTTGACCAGGGGAGCCCATACTTTTGCATACGACTATACAACTATCGCCAACAGCAGTACAACTGGAAATGTGCCAGTTGCACTCAGATTGGCTATCCACAGGTCAGTATGTGCACTTCCATGAACTCTTTTACACAAGGCCAAGACAGGCAGTCCTGTGCTCATGGTTACGACACCATAACCATGCTTGACTGAGACTAAATGGTACATTTTTTGAGAATGAGTGATTTCTCTGTCCGTCTTTCTCTTTATTGAGCTCACTCTCCCTCTAACAGCTTATTGGTTTAGAAGATTACATCATATGTTTTATCCTGTAAGGTGATTTTTATTATTCTCATGGTTTTCTTTTGTAGTTCTTCGAGGAGGAGCTAAACTCTAGAACATCTTTTGTGCACACTGTACTGGAGGCAGCTCAGGACTTCCTCTCACAGCACCTCCTAGTGGAAAGTACCAGCCACTCCGCAGGTGCCCCATTCATATCTCTTTCATGCTTCTAAAACAATAGTTTGGCAAAAAATCTAGTTTTCAAATGCAGTCGATCAGCCAAGCACTGGCACTACGAGCCTAATGTAGCTAACAAGTAATGGAAGCTTATACCAATTAGCTTTATATAAATTGCGCAGCTGATTCCAGCACCCTAAGCTCTATGGTTCTCCTCAAAGTCTGCACTTTGGTGACGTGGAGGGCAAGTGTTTAGGACTTGAAAATTGTACAGGCTATATGTTTACTGTGCTTATTTTTGGACTATTTCTAGGTCTCAACTAAGTTGATGTGTATATTGGCTAATAGTTGAGTTGAGTAGGATATTATTAACATAGCTATGCATGAATTATGGGTGTTACATTGTATATGTTTATTTGTAAGGGGTCCATTGAAGATATTAGGGGGTTCAGACACTAAGGACCCTCCTGTGCTACAAGCTATAGTGTGATTGTCTCACCTGCACTGCCAACCACTGACTTTATTACACACCATTATTGATAAATATGGACAAACATATGTCATAACATTTGTTTGTCTCAGAAGTGTGTGTGGAAACAGCCATCGGGGAGTGTGTGCGGCACATTATGCAAACGGCAGAGGCTCAGTGGCGGAGCATATTGCAACACTGCAGTGCCCGCAGGAGGCGGCTAGAGGGCGCTGTGAGGGGCCTGGAGGAGCTACAACACAGCATGGAGGAGATACAGCGAGAGATAGAGGAAGCTCAGGGAGTCCAGCAGGCCTGGGAACCACTGGGAGAGCTACAGATAGAAACACTGCAGGACCATGTGGACGCTATCGGGGTACATATACGCACACATGCACATATATATATATATACACCTACTTATTAATTTCATCAGTTAGCCCTCTTTTACTCTTCAGTGGTCAGGACCCCCTCAGAGCATGTACTGTTTGGGTGGTGGATCATTCTCTGCACTGCAGTGACACTGATGTGGTGGTGGTATGTTAGTGTGTGTTGCGCAGGTCTGAGTGGATCAGACACAGCAGTGCTGCTGGAGTTTTTAAACACCTTAGTGTCACTGCTGGACTAAGAATAGCCCACCAACCAAAACATCCAGCCAACAGCGTCCTGTGACCACTAATAAAGGGCAATAGGATGGCCAACACAAACTGTGCAGCAGCAGATGAGCTATTGTCTCTGACTTTACATCTACAAGGTGGACTGACAAGGTAGTAGTGTCTAATAGAGTGGACAGTGAGTGGACACAGTGTTTAAAACTCCAGCAGCACTGCTGTGTCTGATCCACTTGTACCAGCACAACACACACCAACACAAAACTGTGGGAGTCCTGACCATTGAGGGACAGAGTGAAAGGGGGCTAATGTTTCAAATGTATTATGTATGTGTAAGAAGGTTTACTCTAAGCCTAATTCTAAACCTAGTCTATGTCCTGTGAGTGTGCAGTTGTTTGAGGAGGAGTTAGTTCCTGTGAGGGAGGGGCTAAAGCATTTGAGCATGTTAGCCCACCAGCTGTGCAATGCCGGTGTGTGTCTGACTGAACACGACACAAACAGACTTCACAACCTCAACACAGACTGGACACTACTGCAGGTATGGATATGCACACTGTCACTGATAATAGTGATGTTTTTGTTGTAGTGATTGTTTACATTGACACTTAGATACATACATACATACGTTCATACATACATACATATATACATACATAGACACACACACATACTCTTTTGACCTGTGTAGACTAATAAATAACATTTACAATACATTTTGTTAAGGCACAGTGGAAAACTTTTTTGTTGTTGTTTATTTAACTTTTTCCTTTCTCTCCACCTGCTTCAGTGCTCCACTGCTGCTCTCACAATCCCCTGAGCAGCACAGTACAACACTCTGCAACACACACAAAGATGTCCACTATTAAGGAGATTATTAGTTTGATCATCCCTCAAAAGAGCTCAGACACTGAGATTTATAACTGGCTCATCACATTGATTTATCAGTCTACTCAGGCTTTAGCAGAGCTCAGTAACACTGAGATTAATAACTGATAATCAGATTGATTATCAGTCTACTCATCTTTTAGCAGGAACTTCAGTGTTTATAAAGCCTTTAAATAAGATCCTCCTTAGAGTTCGTGTAACAAGCATGTTTGCTACATACCATAGTTAACAAACAAGCATTGATGGTGTTTATTTGAAGATTTTTTGAAGACTTTGTTTTTTTTCAGTGAATAAGTAAATTCAAATTCAATATTGAAAGTATTTTTCTAAAATGTAAAATGTAATTGTGTTCTAAGTACTGCTTTTTAAAAACTCGGACCGAATACAAATCCTTAATGTTTGTATTCTTTATAAGTATTCTCAATACTCGCATCCCATTATATCCCAACCCTACCCATAAACCATCACTCCTTCTTTCTGTAGGAGTGTATAGAGGATAGACTGAGAGAGCTGCAGGAAGCACTTACAGACTTTGGACCCACAACCCAACACTTCCTGTCAGGTGATTTCACTTTCTCTCAGAATTAGCTGAATAATAATAATACATGCATATGCAATAGCAATATATAGGCTATTCTATAGTAATACATACATAATCACAATATCTTTACAACAGTAAACGTTTGAATAAGCCCGGGCAAGTGAAAATAAGTTAACACATCCTCTACTGGGAACATACTTAAATTTGGCATTTTTCTGCAAATTTTAGTGCACAATTTCTATTTATTTGCTGAATTTAACATATTGGAAAAATGAAAATTAAGACAGGCCATATTTGGTGGATTTTTTCCCCCAAATATGTTAAATTCTTTAAAAAAAGCAATGAAACAGTAATTGTGCCTTAAAATGTGCAGAAGTATTTTCTCCGTAGAGAGCGTTAACTTATTTTTCCTTAGAAAATCAACAAAACATGCCATGTGACCAGGGACACAAAAAGTAACCCCTTTTAAAGTAATACTGTATATCACTGAAGAATTCTTATGTGTAGGTTCTGTACAGAGTCCGTGGGAAAGAGCCGTATCAGCCAGCAGAGTGCCCTACTACATCAAGTGAGTGAGTCTGTGTGTCCATGTTTATTTGATGTGTTGAGTTGAGTTGATTGAGTTTAGATGTGTGAGCGTAAAACCCTTTCAGCCTCACACACCGCACAGACGTTAGCACGATCATTTCATAAGCATCGGCTCAGTAACTACTGCGCACAACTAACTGCCCTTCATCTTTTATTTCTCCTTTCTGTCCCCCTCTCTCTTTCTCTCTCTCTCTTCTAGTCACAGTACCCAGAGCACTAGTTGGGATCACCCACGGATGATCCAGCTCTATCAGTCTATGGGTGAGATAGTGGCTGTGTTCTAAACCAACAATTAGCTGCCTCCACTACTCACTTTGCCTTATCTAGAGCTAGATGTTGAGGATCTATATAGAATCTACTAAGTTACTAAGGTCTTATTAGAACATAATTAGAATTATTCTTTACTTGGTCAATACTCTGAAGTCCAATGCCTCTACCTGCAGAGGTCGGTAGTAAACAGTTCTATTCACATGAAGTCATGAATTTCTGATGTATTACACTTTCCTGAGTACATTATTTTAGCATGTTATTTTATTTCAAGACAAAAAGAGGAGAATGGTTCCTGTGCTGAGAGATGCTAGATGTATTGAGAAGTTCCTTTGCAGTTCTAAAAAAAATTCCACTGCACATTCTAAAATAAGACCTTATTCAAACAAAGTAAAGCTTAAGCCACGATCTCAAATCATCAGCTGACAGCTCAGCTTATCGCCTGCTATGCATACGATTGGCTAAATTTGTCAGAAGGCTTTTTTAAGCTGCTTTAATCTGCGCATTCTCGTCACTTCCTCTGTGGGCCACTTTGCAACCTCCTGCTGGTTAATGGTTTGCCTGGTATGGTTGTTTTGGGGGTCTTTCTGTTGCTCTCCCTGCCTTAGACTTTCCATGTATGCACAGGGAGGTCCCAGAACAGAGCCATACTGCCAAATATAACTTACTGCAAATGGAAACAAAATATTTCTTCGATGAAGTCATCCTGACTAAGCTGCAATTAACCATTTGCTTACCTTTTAGGCATTTTATTAACCTTTAGTACTGGACCGATAAGCAATGCATAAAGTACAATTCCGGTTTTCTGATGCTGATGGTTCTGGTACTTTAAGCAGTTTAAAACCAGTCTACATTACTCATTACTTAAGCTTTTATACTTCTGCTCGAGCTGTACAAATCAATTCCATGGTACACGAATGCCTGGAATGAATGGACTCCAAGGCTTTGGACTTGATTCCACACAGTGACGTTCAAGTTTGCCCACCTGCACACAGATTAGGAGATATTTTGCTGTCAGAGAATGTTTGAAAAATGCAGCTTTCTACAAAAAATGTACCAACAGTCCAGCTGTATTTCACTTCAGAAACAGTGAAAAACAAAGCTTGCCAGTGCCCAAACAACTGCAGACATTGACGGAGGAAAATCAGGTACAGTTTAGTCCCCATTAGTCATCATTATAGTTAATAAGTATAGTATATAGTTTTAATATAGTTTTTTTTGCTAGATGTCATCTGTATATCTTGGGTTTAGGAATCAAGAATATTGAGTGGAATTGACTCCTGTCACTTATCTGGAATCGCACAGCCCTACATTGAAGTAACATTACTGTTACCTGAGTTTTGGCTCACCTGTGCTCAACAGCACCCTCTAGTGGCTGGAGGTTATATTTGAATATAGCAGGAAAATGTGTCATATTAAACCCTTTATCTTTCTCTCTTTTTCTCTCTTTTAGCTGATCTCAGTGAGATTAGATTTTCAGCCTACAGAACAGCCATGAAGTTGCGACGTGTGCAAAAGGCCTTAAAGTGTGAGTGTTATACATAATGAATATATGCACACAGTAAGTAACGCGTACGCATATTCAAGAGCTTGTACATTCACTCCTCTCTCTCTCTCTCTCTCTCTCTCAGTGGACTGTGTCCCTCTAAGTTCATTGGTGGCAGAGCTCCAGAGTGATGTGGGGGTCATGCAGGGGTCAGAGGTCACAGGTTCAGGGAGCAGGGTCGTGGAGGTTCAGGAGGTTGTTGATTTGTTGACCTCTCTTTATGAACACATGGAGCAGGAGAAAGGCATGATGGTCGATATTCCGCTGTGTGTGGATATGTGTCTCAACTGGCTGCTCAGCGTTTATGACAGGTCAGATTACACCACTGTCCACCTGTCTGTCTGTACTGGTCCAGGCCTCCTTCATTTCATCACTGCCATAACAAAATCTCATAATTTTTCTTTTTTGAGAGCAACATCTCCCTCTTTACATTGTAAACATTTGATGAATGAACCAATAGAAATCCAAAAACAGCTGTATTACCAATAATATCTTGCATTACATGTTGCGTTAACATTCATTAAAGTTAGAAGAGTTACGTTTTTAGGTTTTTTATCCTACTATAAAGTTTCCATTTCAGAGGTTGTGACAGTTGATGCTCAATATTTCTACAAATACTCTCGCTCTCTCTCTCTCCCTCTCTCTCTCTCTGTGTGTGTGTGTGTCTCTCTCTCTGTGTCTCTCTGTGTCTCTCTCTCTCTTTCTCTCTTAATTATCTCCCTGTTTTTGTCCTTTTTCTGCCTTACAATTACAACAGCTCATTTTCTCAGCAACTAAATGTAATATCAGATTTTTCAGTGTTTCTTGTGTCGCTCTTTACCTTTATTACAGCTTCCATTCTCCAGGAGACTCACTTTCAGTTTCTCAAAGAACACTTTATCCACTAATTACACTATATCAGTTGTAAATATCATTCACTTGTTATGACACATGTATCATGTATTCGTGTCTGCGTGCTCTAGCGCCCAACTGAAATACAGTCATACACAAAAGTCTGAACAGCTACAGTTAACACACAGTTAACACATCCTCTACAGAGAACACACCTTAATATGACACCTATATGCAAATGTTACAGCAACTTTTATATGTATTTCCTAAGTCTAACATATTGGAAAAACATAACATCTAAAATGTGCCATAACTTTTGCACAGGCTACATTTTTTTGTGTTCTCTGTAGAAAATCAGCAAAACATATACTTTGACCAGAGGCGCCCAAACCTTTGCATATGACTGTATAGTTTGATTGATAAAAACAAAGGTTCCACAGACTTATTTGAAATAGCAGAAATCCTATTTATAAATATGCATAATGTCATCTTTATGTAATTGCAGGCCTGAGTTCACATATTATGAGATTCATGTTGTTCACCTGTTTTGCAGCTGGCTGATAAGATTAGAAGTGGCTTGTTTTATGCTGATATTTGAGATTTAAGAGTTTTTGCTGTTTAAGAAATGAAAACTGACAGTCAGTAAAGCACTGGGTAACTAAAAGTATACCAGATAATATTATCACTCATTGGAATTTTTAGTTCCAGTATCAGCCAATAATGTCAAATGTGTCAGGCCATGGTGTGAACATTATTATTTTTTGCTTCTATGCATATGAGCATTGATGTGCATGTCGTGTGATGGAGCTGTTACCGTGATGAATATTGAGCGGCGCCTCTCCGTGCTTTGTTTGCGTGTGGAATACAGAACTGTTATTTGCTCTGCAGCCTGCATCACTGCAGGGAAAACACCTGGACATGTCCTTTATGCTTATATGCATGTTTTTTTAATTATAACTCCTCTCTGTTCCTCTCTTTCTCTCTCTCTCTCTCTCTCTCTCTCTCTCTCTCTCTCTCTCTCTCTCTCTCTCTCTTTCAGTGGCCGTGTTGGGAAGTTGCGTCTGTTGTCCTTGGTTACTGGCCTGGTCTGCCTGTGTGATGCTGATGTCAAAGACAAATGCAAATGTAAGTGAATAGCAGTTTCCTGTACTGTCTGTCGCCTTCAATAAAAGATTTTGATTTAGTATGTAAACATTGATAAATAAACATTCATTAATCCATATAGTCCAGCTATTCAGTCAGCAGCAGTTTAACTCTGCCCATTCACTCAGGAGTCTTTCAACCTGGACTGCTTTTTGAATGAGGCCAATCAGAACAGAGCTCATTTACATATATCACTTTTAAAGGCAGAGTAACAAAAATAGTCTGCTTATTCATGTTCAAGGGTTGTAAAATGATCATGTAAAAATGAATTATGGACCATACAGCTAAACAAATGTCGTAAGTGGACCTCACGAATTAAAATTACAAGAAAGGTCTAGAATATGGAGAAGAGTGGATTAAGGAAATAAGTTAAAGGTTGCCCTACATTATTTTGGCCAAGACAATCTTGTTTTAGGCACTGATATTTGATATGTGTGTTAGATTTGTTCCGGCAGGTTTGTGGTGCAGATGGACAGTGCGATGCTGCCCACCTGAGCTCTTTACTGCATGAGCTGATCCAGATTCCGCGGCAGCTGGGGGAGGCAGCAGCATTCGGAGGGAACAACGTAGAACCCAGCGTCAACAGCTGCTTCAGAATGGTCTGATTTGTTTTAATGCTACTGGTACCACTATAGATGGACATTATGACAGTCTTTGCTATTCAAATATCCACATGTGTAAAAAAATAGTAAAAAACTGGCTTCTGGATGGCTGCTAGTACTGCTCAGACATGGAGACTCAAGTCACAGACTTGAGACACAAATTTCAACCCGAGGGGGAAAAAAAAAAAAATCACAAACAAAACTAGTAAAACAGGACCACCAACCGTATAATCCATTAAATCGGGGTGCACAGCTGCGGGCCTGGAGGGCTGATGTCTAGCACAATTTGGAGGTTTCCCTACTTAAACACACCCAGTAAACCAGGCAATTAACAGGCAAGTCCAACCAGGTGTGAGCAGGTAAATCACTAAACTATGCTGACCCTCCTGGACTACAGTTGAGCACCCCTGCAGTAAATGAATAAAAACTAATTCTCAGCCTTACATATGTGACTTTGCCTGTCAGTGTTGCTGGGGAGCCCTTATTGCAAAGCTGATTTCCTTCAGCTTGCAGTGTTCAATATGGCTTCAAATAACAAGGCAATATTTTCCTTAATTTCACTGCTGTTGCTACATAAATGGAAAAATGTATTGGAGGGATAAGATATTAGACTGAGGGTTGAGCTTGTAAGCCTGTGAAACTAATTTAAAACAGCCAGCTAGCCACCTGGCTAAGATAACTGTTAGCAGTTAGCCATCTAACATTTTATTTTGTATGATTTTAATTCAGAACAAATTTTAGTGATAGATAGCACAGAGTTATAAAATCAGGTTCAGTTTGAGTTCTACTGCAAACGTGTAAGAACATACACTGTGTAATCTGCAGTTTGGCAGGCTAACAGGCTAACAAGCTCCTCCAAAATTAGAGTTCAGAGTTAAGTTGAAGTATTTACTGAATGATTCACTAAAAATAGAAACATACAGAGTAAAATATATGTTGCTTGAATGAGTATTTTGAACTTTAAATGCCTATTTTAAAGCTAGAGTTGACCTAAGTAGCATTAAACCTCGTGTGGATAAGTGATTAGCTATGCCCTAACATAACACTGCATCTACTTAAGAGATGCTTATACAAAGACTGCTTGCAAAGTGATATCTGCATTACTGCAGTTACATATTTATAAGATATGATGTCCAAAACATAATGAAATTACTTTCTCTAAGCCACTTCATCCAGTTTAAACAGTGCAAAAGTGGCATTAAAAAGGTCTTAAACAAATTACCTTTTTATACTTGCAAATACTTGCTTAAAGTACTGTGGTGTTTCCTCATGCTGTGTTAGAAAAGCGATGCCTGGTGACAGTTATGCATTGTAACTGGTGTAATTAGAGCCATTAATTTAATATATCATATAAAGTCACATGTTGGCCTATGGTAGCCCTATGTAATACATATGATAAACCTTTCTGGGGCCCAGATACCCGTCTTGCCCACAAGGGCTCCACTATAATAAGACACATAAAGTGCCCATGTGAGGTCAGTGGATGAGTGGACAGGCCCCACTTGCAGCTTAGCTTGAGTCAGAAACCACATAAGCAAGTCTATTGGAGATGACTTAATAACTCCATGTGGTTTGAGGCAAGTCTGTGATGATGTAGGGATGTACAATGCTGAACGGGTGAGGATAAGCTTCTATTACTTGTTAGCTACATTAGCCTCATAGCTCCAGTATAAAACAAAAGCAAATTTCAGACACCAGACAAGTCTTAGCTGATTGGTTACTTTTGGGAAAATTGAGTAAAGTTGTTTTCTGGCTAAACTATTGCTTTAGGTGCCATTTATTTATAAGAGTAAAATACTGGACCCTCAGACTGACCTCTTACCTTCGGCACTGTCACTGTGACCTTGTGTGCATGTGTGTATTTAGGTTTGGGGGAGTTGGTCAGTCTTTCAGCCCAGGGCTGTGTGTGTGTGTGTTTGTGTGTGACTGTGTGTGTGTGTGTGTGTGTGTGTATTAGTACTGTAGCTGAGGGTGAACTTGTATGACACACACTTCTAATGAGCAATTGTTTTCTTAATAAAGCCACAAAGAATCAGCTTCAAAATTACAAACATAAAGTACATCATATCACTACACAAATCACACACACACACACACACACACACACACACACACACACACACACACACACACACACACACACACACAATCACACACACACACACAATCACACATACACACACACACACACTACATACTACATCACAATAGTAATATGTATACCTCACATATATACATCTCTGAGATCGCTCATTCTTCATTTATTTAAATTCCAGTCAAAACAGCCATTAAGTACAAGTTATTTGTTTTTCAGAAGATATTTTGAGGAGATTAGACAATCCACTTGCACAAGGAAGCAGAAAGTCAAAGTAAAAATAAGTGCAAAACAGGAGTTTTCAAAACCGGAGCTCAAAAAATGAATAAAAGCTACAAAGAAAATGTGTCTCCTAACAACCACCTGGAAGACCTGGTAGACACCAAAACTGCCCCCACCAGATAAACAGCACTTAAAGCTTTCATCTCTGAGAGAGAGGAGAAAATCAAGCTGCTTCAGATCTGAAAACATCCACAGGTGTTTCTGTCCATCCTTCCACTGTGAGAAGACGACTCAGCGCTGTGGGTCTGAAAGGATGTGTAGCTGTCAAGAAGAACCTCACTGAGAAAAGGAGACGGACACATCAAACAAAGAAGCTGAACAATGGACTGACCACCCCAGAGTCCAGACCTCAACACCACTGAATGGGTTTGATTACTTCAGAAAATGATCAACCAACTTCCAAGACTGAACTTTGGAGGTGTGTCTGCAGATTCTTTGAGAAACTGTAAGTGAGTCTCCTGAAAGGAATGGAAGCTGGAATAAAGGTAAAGAGCGACACATGAAACACTGAAAAATCTGATATTATATTTAGTTGTTGAGGCTTCTGTGTCATTTCTTCCCTGGCACTGAAAAATGTGTAACATTTACTTTTTTTAAATGGAATTTAAATAAATGAAGAGTGGTCTCCCACTACTGTTGTTCTTTTGTTTACCATTAGTCTTTTATCAACAGATTTACAGCGGTCAGTATTTACCTTCACTATACACCAACATATCACCAATAGTTTATGATGTTCTTTTGCCACAGGGGTCACTATAAGGCACCCAAGTGATAATATCAAACTTTCTCTCTCTCTCTCTCTCGCTCTCTCGCCCTCTCTCTGCAGGTCCCAGGGCGTCTCTCAGTAGGTGAGGGTGATTTTTTAGACTGGATCGCTCTGGAGCCTCAGTCTGTCGTGTGGCTACCTGTCCTGCAGCGCGTCAGCCAATCAGAACGCACGCTGCACCACGTCCGCTGTTCAGTCTGCAGGCGCAGCCCCATCCGCGGGTTCAGGTTCATAATGATCCCAAATCAGCACACCAGACCCCCCCACACACCGTTCATATAATCACATTTACAATTATTAAAGTGATATTTAGCTATTAAAGCAATCATTCAGCAATAAAGAATTCATAACTTCCCCTTTGCTCCCAGATGTAGTCTATCAGCCAAGACATATTTGCTACCTTTGTTTTGCACTGGAGCTATGAGGCCAATGTGGCTAACAAGTAATGGAAGCCTATGTACAGAATTTGCTTTGTGCAAACTGCGTAACTAAATCGCAATAATAAAAAAAAAGTGGACAAATGTACAGACAAACTTCAGGCTTTAAGATGGCTGCCGTCACTGTTTTTTAGCTATGTGATATACATATTTATAGATGACAGATGTTGATCAGCTACATTTGGAGTGAGGAAGGAAAATTATGGAAATGTTATTTTTTGGCAGAAACATCACTCTAAGGTTTTGGCCTCTTTTAAGGCCTGATGTTTTTTTTTGTTTTTTTTTTATCTTGTTAAAGGTATCGTAGCCTGAAGCAGTTCAATGTAGATATCTGTCAGAGCTGCTTCCTGTCGGGACGTGCATGGCGGGGTAAAACCCTCCACTACCCCATCATAGAGTACTACACTAAAGTAAGACTACACTGCCCACCTTGCAACATCACATTCTACACTGACCCATCATAGAGCACTACACTAAAAAAGACTACACTTAGGCTTGAGTGGTATCTGTTTCTTTATACTTTCATACCTTCCTTTTACTGGGGTATACGGTATTAGAGTTAAAGAGCCTACTTAGACAAGTCTTTTGGGTTTAAATGCTTATGGCACATAGAATAATGAATGGATAACAAATAGTGCCATACCTTCATAGATTTAGCATACCTTCTGGAGGACCCAATGACACTGCCATGGCGGATACAGAAAGAAGTCATCTCAAGATGAAATTATATGTTATATTATATGTTTTCAACTGACTTTTGCTGACTTTATGGTCAACGTGAACTGCTGATGACTGCAGGGGTGGGGAATAAAAACATTGGCGTCAAGTCAGACATATTCTACTTCCCCTAGCATAAGCTCACAACAGTGTCCGATCTTGCGGCATTTGCCTTTTTGTTGCAGATGAAATTGAAGAGCTCGAAAGTTTACGTTAAATTTTTGACACACAAACAAATTAAATTTAATTTATTAGGAAACATTTAGGGCAAAACATCACACACAGAATACCTGTTAGAGCCACACTTTTGAAGATTTTTTTTCTTTCTGTTCTATTGAGAACAATATGCCTGATAATAAAGTAAAAATTACAATATTACCAAGTCAGCCATATTGCCAGTAAGGTGACAAGAAATCTAAAGAATAAATTATGACCTACAAGGGCGTTATATCTTTTAAAATAACAAACTCCTAAACTAAACTGTTTGCTGGAAATGAAACTATTTTGTTAACAGTGTCCATATGCAAACAATTAGCTGCCAGCCCAAATAAATGGCATCCCCTTTAAGAGAGAGAACCACAGGGGATAAGACCTGAAGTTTTTAGAATAAAAACGTAACATAGGTGACACACGTCATTTTTGTCATTGGAGATTCCAGCAAATGAGAGTGATGTTCTGATGTCATGAATGCGTTTTGTAGCTTGTGCAGTGGATGGAGGGTAACAGCGGCTGCGACATGGTGACATGGTGATGTGCTGCAGCCCCAGCGAAAGTCATATATAATTTCTAACCAGCATGCATTGTTTTAAGTCCAGTATGCATCATGTTAAGTCAGCTCTGCACAGGGCCACATTAAGTCAGTCCCAACCAAAATTACCCCAGAAAAAGGCTACCCAGCATGCAACAGCTTTGCACTTTTGAAAAATACTACATTAACTAAAACTACTCTACCTAGAGTACACTACCCTAGACTACAGCACTGAACACTACACCAAAGTAAGACTACCCACAATGCAACACCACATTATTCTAAACCAGTGGTCACCAACCCTATTCTTGGAGATCTACTTCATTGTGGATTATAGTTCAAACCACAAGCTGCCCCACCTGCTATAGCTAATTAACATCTATAGAAGTCCTTGATTGGTTGGTTCAGATGCATTAGTGTAGGTATACAGTGTGGGCAGCATGTTAGATGCAGGTTGGAACTAAAGTCTGCAGAGAAGTAGATCTCCAGGAACAGAGTTAGTGACCACTGTTCTAAAGAGACATTGAGGGCATTGTTTAAACTCTTGTGTTCAGAGTACGTCTGGAGAGAAGATGAGGGCTTTTGCCGAGACGCTGAAGAATAAGTTTCGCTCGAAAACAGTATTTTAGCAGACACCCCCAGAGAGGATATCTACCTGTTCAGTCCACTGTGGGACGCAGAGAGGAAGACAGGTAACACACACACATATGCACCGATCAGGGGTCTAAATCTCTGAGGTCACAGTGATTCAGTTTGATTAGGACTTTGTAGCCAATGAATCATTCCATCATAAATTCTAAAATCCATCACAATTTGATTATTTTGGAACCATTTGGAATTATTTACACTGGATGTGACTGGAGGAAATATTTACAAAGTAGTGCAATATATACATTAAAAACAAAACAACAGGCTATTTTCAGATTTTTCTGGTTGAAAATAGGCTTACAATTTGAATTAAGCCCAAAAATATACACTTATTTTACTGAATTTTATTATAATCGATTCTAACATTCCAAAATGTCTCTCTCTCTGTCTTTAGTCCCAGCTCATCTCCTAAGCTGCCACATTCAGAGTCTAACTCCAGTATTGGGCCCTTTGCCTGCAGGTGAGTCTTACACCCGGCGTGCTTTACACCACTCCATCTGACTCTTGGCACTGTGCGTGCATGTAGCTCTTCAGTCATGGAAACCCGTGCCACGAAGCTCCTGGTGCTCAGTTTTTGTGCTGACGTTAAAGCCAGAGGAGGTTTTGAACGCAGCAGTTATTGACTCAGCAGAGCATTGGAGACTTTTATGCTCTATGCTCCTCAGCACTCAGCAACCCGCTCTCTAACTTTACATGGTCTGACACTTCGTGGATGAGTTGCTGGGTTCCTAAATGCTTCCACTTTTCAGTAATACCTCTCATAGTTGATTGTGGAATGTCTAGGAGGGAAGAAATTCAACGAACTGACTTGTTGCAACGGTGGCACCTATTACAGAACCACACTCGAATTCAGTGAGCTCTTTAGAACGACCGATTATTTTACAAAGGTGTGTAAAGGCAGACTTCATGAAAAAATAAAAAAATAAGCAGGCCAACGATGTACAACAATGTCTCAGGCGTCAAGCAGCAAATTCATAACCACTTCATGTAATAACTTTCTGTAAGGGAGCATTTAGAGACTCTTCAAACATCTGGTTCCTATCACCACCACTGCTAACATTTCTAAAATTCTTTCTTCATTCAGTCCATTATTGAGCACTGTGCCTTCAGGTGAATCTCACACATGTGCATTTAAGCACACACACACACACACACACACACACACACACACATACACTCTCTATATGTCGCAGATGTCCCGTAGCTTGTGTTTTATAAAGCAGATTGCTTGATTTCACTAACCTCATCAGCGTGCTCGACTGGAGGAGTTAATTAGCGGAATCAGGTGGAGATCAGGGGGGCTGTGCTGCAGGGCAGACTTCAGCCCACATAACCTACTGTACATGAGCCCCCCACACAGCACACTGCACAGTGCGGCAGCTTTACACTCGTTCTTTGTTCTTCAGAACACAAAAGCGAACTGACTGAGCGAACATATAATTAATTATAGTTAATTCATATATAATGTAGTTATTAATTAATATGAATATTCATATTCTAATTCTAATGAATATATTAATAAAATTAATGTCCAGAACAAAGTTATAATACAATAAATATCCAGAATAAAGTTGAAAAACTAAAATCTAGAATAAAATTATAACAAAATAATGAAGCTCTAATAAACTAACATCCAGAATAGACGTATAATAAAATAATGTATAACATATATTATAATAATATCGAATATAATGAATATCTTGAATAAAAACATAATAAAAAAGTTATAACAAAAATAATATCCAGAATGTCTTTGGTTTTAAAAGATAATTTGACAAAAGTATAAAATAAATGTATTATGTTAAATATTACTGAATAAAATGACACGATTATTAGAGCGATCAATAATTCTAAACTTATGGAAATTATCTATATTAATACTACAGGAATTTCTACAAGGATTTGTGGAATCTTATAGACAGCATACTGCACTGTAGTAAATTATACAACAAGTATTACAGATTATTATAAGGCAGCACTATAAGGATATTATACAGAGGTGGAAATATAGATGACTATTGAAAGGTTATAGTTTGTTATAGTTTATTATTTGTGACTACATGCTAAGTTGAGTGGAACACATGGCCTGCAGTGGCTGCTTGTGTTACTGTACACTGTACTCGGCTGGTTTAGTGGGTCATTTCTTACATGCACTGATTAGAGTAATGAGTCACAGTCTGACAGAGGACAGCCAGGGGTCACACACAGGTCACACGCTGGTCATGAGGGTTGATTGTGGTTGACCCCCGGCTACTGTCGTCATAGTGATGACCTTCAGTAGCATGTAGCCGTCACCACCTCACATCTGAGCAGCACCCAGGGTGACGTTTTTATGTGCGTGTGTGAGTGTGTGTTACTATGTGAGCTTGAGTTTGTTACTCAGGTGTTACTCTATATTTTTATCTAGCAGAGCATCTCTCATAGAATTTGTCTGTGTCCAAAACTGCATACTACCATACTGCACATATAACACGTATTACCATACTATACATACTACACATACAACCATACTACACATACCACACATATTACCATACTACCATGCTACACATAATACCATATTACACATCCTACACATACTACCATACTACATGCACTACACATTTTACCATACTACACATACTGCCCATACTATACATTCTACACATATTACCCATACTACTTGGTGTTGTACTATTTTAATATACTATTTAGCATGGGAAAGTGAGTATTGGAGGCAGCCTGTTTTCTGTCATGCTCCTACTGCCCCCTGGTGGTGCAAAAGCAGTATTTCTATTCATGTGTTACGTCTATTAGGACTGAGAACCTCTACAGGCCCCACCATACAATATTACCATGTTACTTGAGCCATGATACAATTCTGTTATGATGTTTAGAGATCTGATTGATTTTTATTGCCACACTATGTGTCAGTGGTAATTGGTAATTAAAAATGATGTAATCTGACTGATACAGTAACACAATACACAAAAACATACAATGTAACACATACATAAAATAAAAAAAATATATAATACCATATAAAATATACAGTATGCACCACAAAGTACAGTAGAGCCACAGGGAATTACCAAATAATTTCATCAATGCATTCTTACAAAGTTTGGAAATCTTGGGGAGAGACTGTAATGTGATGCAGTTTTGTTTTAGCTAATGAAGTTTACATGTTCTTCTTCACCTCTTCATCTTATGTAGTGAAGCCAATCATAACTGTGCAGTACACAAATAAACATTCAAAGAAATATCTTTCTTTGGTCTGCAGTGAAAGAAATGGCACCATCTTGTGGATATAGACGTAAATGCGTTTTGGTAATCAGGGTTCAACTCCAGTCTTAGAGGTTTGGTAATTCCCCTACTCAGGACACCCGCTGAACATCGCGTTAAAGCCCCAGGGAACCTAAAAACATACATATATATTTTTTTTATTTACACATTACACAATATACATATACAAAATATGACCTATGCCTAATTTTAGCACGTATAATACATGGCCAAAATTCCCCTTTATTAATTTAAACTGGGCAGTTGTAATCTGGGATAGCGCTTACATAGCATTACTCTCACCAATCACAAGGCGGATGTGGGTTTTTCCTCAGCTTTAACAAAACTATAATGTGTTATATGTTATAGTTTGAAACAAAACTACGCGTTCCACTGCGGCACAGGTCACCCCCCCCCCACACATTAGCCTAACAATGGGCTTTATACACATTAAAATTATGAATAATTCAATAATAATAATTCAATAACAATATATCAATACTTGGGCCTCCATGTCCATGTGCTTCTTTGTGCTGCTTCAAAATGTCAATCACAATAAGACAATTACGTTCTGTATATCAGTCATAGACATTTTCCTTACTGTAAATGCCAGTTGTTTATTTTCAGTAAATATTGTTTTATTTACTCTGCTGAGTGATGAACGTGATGGCTGATGAGTTTCTTTTTCCTGTAGACTGGTTGAAATGGAGAATCAGAATTGCTCCTTCTTCAACAACAGCCTGTGAGTATCGTATAACTAATGATGTCACTCATTGCTACATTATATTCTAACAGTTCTGCATTTACCACTGTGGTATAATATGGTGGCATTTTATAGCAATGTCTTAATGTTAAATTGACAATAACTAATTAACTGTGTTCGTGTCAGCATGTGAAGCATGTGCTACAGTTTCTAAACAGTGTTCATGTATTGCTGGTAAACCTGGCATGAATGGAATTCTACTGCCAGGTTTACCAGCAATACTGCATACATATACTGCATGGTAGCTAGCTAGTTAATGTAAATAATGGAATATTTCTTTTATGTAATGCTGTTTAACAGAATTGACCATTAACATAATGATGGTTTTATTGACTTTCATTTAGAGAAAATTAAAAAGTACTGGTAATTTTCTGCCAGCACGTTTTACGTTTTTATGGAATGAGTATTTATGATCTTAAAAGTGTTAAAAGTTAATTAAAAAATCAAATGTCCTTCATCCAAGATAAGTGAAATGAGTTCCATGGTTTTACATTTTCAGTATGTAGTAGATTTTATGTTATTTTTATTTTTGAATGAAGATAATTTTTCAACCTTCCACTAATGTACATTGCATCTTGTTGCTGATCTTGTGCCTGTCATTATAATGCTACCTTGTGTGTGTGTGGTTTTCGGTACAGCGATGAGGAGCAGTACCCTCTGCATTACTACAGTCCAGTTCCTGAGCCGGACGCCCTGCCCTGCCCTCACCTGCTGAAACACAACCACACCTGCACAGAGCGGCCAGTCACTCTCACCATTCAACCTGAATACAGTAACATCTGCATGGACTGGCCAGTCACACCTAACTTAGAGCCTGAGTACACCAACATCTGCATGGACGCTCCATCCTGCACACACCTGCACAACTGCCACACCTGTGTGAAGCAGCGAGTCAGACAGGACCTACTGATCAACAGCCCAGGCCAGCAGAGTCGAGGGGAGCTGCAGCGGACCATCAGCATCCTGGAGCAGCAGAACAGGTACTGGAGATTTCTGAATGTGTTATTTTATTATTTGCACAGGATGCTGTAGATTTAATGCATTTAAAGGGCCAAAATCATAGTCTTTTTTAGGTATCGTTCAGTCCATACAGTCCATAAATGGAAAGTAAGCAGCAAAAGCAGCGCATTTTTAATTTAGTACTGTGATGTCACACCCAGGAACACACTTACCTATGAGTGCTCATTCAGCCTACAGTAGCTTGGCCCCACCCATTCAGCCTGCAGCAGGTTAGCCCCGCCCTTTGAGGCTACAGCATCTTTACTCCGCCCATTCCTACAGCATCTTAGCCCTGGCTATTCAGCAGTTTAGCTCCGCCCATTCCACCTACAGCCTGTTAAGCCTGTTTTTGTTGTTTAGGCTGAGACTGAGCCAGGGTGTGCATGTGATGTTGAGAGTGTTGTTCCTGCAGGCTCCTGCAGGGGGAGTATAGGAGGCTACAGTGGCAGCAGGCGGAGGCTGAAGCCCAGAGATCACCGAGGTCACCTGGAGGTCAGAAAACTACATTACAAGTGGAATTGGAGAGGCGCATGCTCATGCTGGAGGAACACAAGAAGCAGCTGGAGAGCCAAATACAGCAATTCAGAACATTACTGCTACAGGTACACACATACACAGAGCTGCACCTGGATGGATACATTCAGAATTAGAAGTATTACTGAATAAAAAATTTATTAATTATATAAACAACAACATTAACACAGATGATCTTTACCTGTACAGTACAGTGTTTTATTGTTATATAATAAAGGCTCGGCTATATCTCTACTAGAGTGTTTTTTAACAATTAGGGCATGTTAGAAATATAATAAAAACAAAGTGGTATAAAATACACTGCTCAAAAATAAGAAGATTTATATAAGCTGACCCATTCTTATGTCAATCAATGTCACTTAAAAATGTGGCTGTGATTACAAAGCAACATAATGGTCAAAGATTATTTCATGATTATTTCAAGACTAAACTGCTTAATGGTCTGTTTTGAATTTGTAATTGCCGTGATGTCATACCCATGAACGCATTTACATATGACCATCCATACAGCCTACAGCAGGTAAGCCCCGCCCATTCACATTGATGTGATGTAGAGTGTTGTTCCTGCTATCTGTAGCAGAGATACTGGAGTGGAAGATGTAGGAAAACGATTTTAATAACTTGGCAAATTCAAACAGAGTTCAGTTCAGTGGTCATAAGTGAGTGCTGAGTATTTTACAACAGCTTTAATCGTGGCTCAGCCAATCAGATTTTAGATCAGGAACTACATACTTTATAACTTTATGACTGGCAAAAGACTTAAACCACTTTCTCTGAATTGCCATTTGTACTGGATTATGTTTTTTTTTCAGGCCAGAGATGACTCTGAAAACAGCATTTCTGCAGAAAGCTCCGCCTCCACCAGCTCACCTGGGCCCCACCCACCACACCTGCACATCCAGCCCAGCTCTGAACCAACAGGTACCTCACTCAGTCCACCCAAGCTGGACTGCCATCTCTTGACCATGTTTAGAGTGTCAATAACCACATGAACAAGCTTCTTTTAAGCCAATAACTCTATAAACTTCCATGTCTCGTTAGCTACCTTAGCCTAAAAAAAAGGTACAACAATAGTAAGAGTTCTTACAAACAGACTTTACAGCATATTTTAGCCTGTTTTTGTTCTCCAGACTCTGTAATGATACTTCATTTGAACAAAAATCCTACATAGTGCTGCTTTAAACAAATGAATGGAGTCATGTTTCAGCTCCATGTTGTTGGGTGGTTTTGTGTCTGTGCAGGTGTGTATGTCCAGGAGGACATCCAGAGACAAACCGCTGACCACCTGCAGCAGGTCATCGAACAACTGAGGAACGTCTTCCCCTCGGAGAGCGGTGAGAGGGGGAAGGGGGAGAAAAAGATGGAAGAGAATTAGTGAGAAAACGACAGTGGATATATGATGCGAGTGGATAATGAGGTAGATATGAAGGAAGTGTTGTAATGGACAGAAGACAGCCAGCAGTATATGATTGTTCATTTCACGTTATCAACTCTTCTTACTTCTTCAGCCACAATTAGTTATAAAGTGCCTCAGTACTTCTTTAGTTACTTTAGTTCTTTAAATAAGTATCTCAGTACTTCTTAAGATACTTTAGTTCTGAGGTATCTCAGTACTTCTGTACTTACTTTAGTCCTTTAAATAAGTATCTCAGTACTTCTTTAGTTACTTTAGTTCTTTAATTAAGTATCTCAGTACTTATTAAGTTACTTTAGTTCTTTAGTTAAGTATCTCAGGACTTCTTTGGTTACTTTAGTTCTTTAAGTATCTCAGTATTTCTTAAGTTACTTTAGTTCTTGAATTAAGCTTCTTACTGTTTCTTTAGTTTGGTGAAGTATTTGGTATTTTTTAATTGCACTAGTGTTTTTCTGCCCTGCCCATTATAACAATACACATGTATAATATCCACATGAGTATTAGAGCAATAGTCCAGCCAAAAGTTCAACTTCTACAGTCAACCCATACAAATAGCTGCCCAGATGAACAACTTTTTAAACAAATTTTCTATGGTTTCTACGACTTTTGCACAGTACTGTAAGTATCTGATTTTCACAGTTCTTTTGTTGCTACTGTGACTGCAGTTGACCTATCCTTACTCCACACACAAATGTGTTATTTTTTTATAGCAAAAATCCCATTCAAACTAATAGTAAACTGTAGTTTGATAGTTTTTATTAAAATACCTGCATTTACAATGCTTTATTCTTTTCAAATGATATTCATTTTGGGTGCATGCAAATCGACACTTTTATTTTGTTGTGTAATGAAGTTGGCAAATTTGTCACTGTTGTTTCCAATCTGCCTAGGTTTGGCTGTCTAAAACAACACAGTCCAGCTCAGTAGTGTGGCATTTTAAACTGGAAACACATTATGTAGATTTTAAAGGTTATTCAGTTTTTTCAACTACGTGAAAATTACGTGAACAGTTGCTATGAAAATGCATTTGTTTAGGACAAACTGATAGATTAATATTTTTAAATATTAATAACATTTCTATTTATCTTAACTCCAGACAGCACTACTGCTCTATAAACCACAGAACTAACACCGAACTTGGTCTGATGTCATCATCACATTTCCACGGATATTATGGACGACTACAAACCTGGAGTGGACAGTCCAAACCTGGCTGAATTCGACGGTGCTTTAATTAACAAGTAGAATCAGAAATGATTAAAGCTGAGAGTGCATGGCAGTTTTGGGATGTGTGTTCGGTAATTACTCAGATGGTAACCTTAGCCTGTAAGCTACTGCCAGCACCACACTCAGTGAAGAGCAGCAGAAAATAACGTTTCAGTTTTCTCTTGTAATCTGAGTGTATAAAGTTGCTGTTACTTTGAGCATCAAGCCTTTCTAAAAAGGAGTGGTGACCATAGGCCACTACACTGAGTAGTGACAACACCCTCCTTTTACTTCTATGAGTACAACTGTTTCAATTGCAGCTTGAAATTACAAAGCAAATATTACCAATACTTTTTACTACATTTTTTTATTTTTTTATTAATGTAGTAAAGAAAAATTAATTATCTTCCTTTAATTTATCTTAAATGTAATTTGTGACTATGTTTTTTCTCATTCTCATGTGCTTCAGATGCTCTAACTCTCTTTTGACATCAGGGACACATTTGATAGCAAGCCCTTGCCGTGTGTTGTATGCTTTTTTAATGTGCTGTGGAAAAGCATTAAATTCTTACTTAACCAACAACTTCAGTGAGAGTGTGCATTAAATGTATGACATCAGGAAAGGCAGCAGGGGATCAGGGTGCAGTAGCAATTACTATCCACAAGAGGGCCTTAGACTGAAAAAGTTGTTGACTTTTTGTTGCACTGCTGACTTAAGGGCACTTAGGACCTAGGGACTAGCTCACACTCACTTTTGGGCATAACGCTGACTACAAACTGGATCACATCCTCAGAAAGTGATGACGTATGCAAACATCAATATCCACAGCGTTCAAATGAGTGTAAAATAATAAATTATGAAATAGTCTCAGGTGAGCATTATAGTTACAAGCTTTCTGTTCATCAGATCTTACTGTGAGATGGAAATAAAAGCAGTTTGCACAGAAGACAGGATTGATTGGTAGAAATTATATCTTGGTAAAGAACATTGTATTTACAGTAAACAACTAAAATTCAGAGCAAAGGGAATTTTCCTGTACAGTTTCTGTTATGTTAGTTGCATTTAACATGCATTAAGCTTCAATATGCATCTGACTGAATCATCAAGATCATCATGATCCATGTGTGGGTTGTAGGTTGTGGAGGAATAAAAAGCTCTTCTAGAGATGCTCTGTGGGGTGAAGTAGAATGAGGTGGAGTTTATTTCACACTAATCTAAACTCTCTCACTGAGCAACACATTCATCACCAGCTTCTGAAAAAAACGCTCAGAAAATCTCTCTTTATATCAGCATGAACTCTGAAATAGACTGATGATTATTACTACATTCATAGCAATACATTCATACCATTTTAAATAGCTAATAATCTCACATTTCTAAGGAAGGTGAAGCTGTGTGGTTTATCTGCTACTCAGCTACTTTCAGAAACCTGGACCAGTTACAGACTTCTACTTTCACTACAGTGCTTCATGCTCCCCCTGGTGGATTTAGGGGACAAAACACTGATTCAAAACATTGAATTGTCTTTGACTTAATGACTTAATTAGAAAATAGAAAACTGAAATTTGATTTCTGATCCCATCTGACAGCCAAACCAAACATACTGTTTTTCTTTCCATACATGCACGTGCATAATATTCATTTGCAAAAGAAATCTCATTAACAAATACCCCAGTTACAATAATAATTATTCACTGTCATTCAAACAAACATTTGTAAACCCACAATGTTAAGTCTCTTTAAAGCATCTAGTAAATCATGTAAATCTTACAGCTCTTAGTTGTGTGAACTGCACAGTTCTGCCGTCGCTGCTGTAACTACAATTTCCTTCAGATGACAAAAAAAAATGTGTCTATCTTTTTAAGATTCAAATAGAAGAGGCTGAGGAAATGTGGGTTAAACTCTGTATAGCATGCATGAATAGCACTATTCATGTCAAGAACTGAAAAGAACATATTTTTGTCACAGGTAATTAACAATACAGTGATGATTTTTTTAATCTACAATCTTAAAGAAAAACACCTAATTTTTTATCACATAATCTCACAGTTCCTTTAACATAGAACCCAGCGTAGAGCGGCTGAGTGAATGTGGTGTGAACTGTGTGTAGGAGGGTCATTGTGTCAGAGACACTGTAGAAGGACAGAGTTCCTGCACTGTGATCCACATACACTCCTATTCTGGAGGATGATGGTCCTGAGATCTCAGTCTTAATGTAGTTGTGCCAGAAAGTGAGAGAGGGAGAACACCGCAGACTCCAGGACTGATTGTTGCATCCAAACACACAATCATTACCCAAACCTTTCCTGCTGATTCCTTTATATGAGACTGATATCAACACAACTCCTCCATCACTGTTCCACTCAACCTCCCAGTAACAGCGTCCACTCACATCCACTCACGTTCCCTTACACCTTAAATGGTTCTGCAGTTACCGCCTGTACTAGTGCAGCTAACTACTGCACTATCGAAGGTGGAACGGAAAATTTGAACGAGAAGCTGTCAAAGAAGCTAACTTCAGCTTTGTCGCAGTGACTGTAGTCATTCCCAGTTGAATAAAATTTCCTCCGTTATCCGATATCTTACATCGTATCAAGGTCTGAACCTTGACAGAAAATAACACCGTAAAAAATGGAAAAACGGAAAAGTCTGCTGCCGTGGTTATTTAAGGTACCTTAGAATGAGGCCTTAGCCTTGCACACTAATCAGAGATGTAGAGATTTTATACTTTTAATTCCATTTGATTTCTATTTCAAATCTGACTTTGATTAATGAACATTAACTCACACATCTCTAGGCTCAATGAGAACTAGATGGAAAAGATGAAGATAATTTTGTTTCTAAATAATAATAATAATAATAATAATAATAATAATACTTTACTGCTGAACTCATTTATCTTATTTTAATAACACAGCCTTAATATATGCCCAGAAAAACGCTATTAACCACTGTTTTCATATGTCACCCCAGTAAATTCACTGGGTCTAACCTGGCCAGCCCATTGTGAAAGTTCTGACTACGCACCTGGTTAAAAGCATAATGTGTATTTTCTTTCAGTAGAAAACTCTTTTTTTATTATATAAAATCTTTTTATTTACAATGGACTTTGGGGAAGATCAGTCACTGTTTGCGGAAAGATTCTCTCTCTATCTCTCTCTCTCTTGTTCTCTGTGCTGTCTCTCTCTCTCTCTCTTCTCCTGTCATACACTTTATATCTCTCATGCTCAGATTATGATGTATAAATGTGTGTCATCTATGAATAGATCACGGACAAATGAAGAGGACTTTGTATTTTCCTTTTCGTAATACAAAGCCCCTTTAATAATAAGTAATAATACACTTGATTAACACATTTCTACAATAAATATTTTAGACTCTGAAGTGTTGATCATCATGTTAATAACAGGTTGTATGTGGATAAGGCAGCACATAACATGTTTAGAATGTTTCAGTGTTTTTCTGTAAAAATAAAAATGTGTATAAATGATAATAATAATATGATGTTATTGTGATATAATGCACAGTCATAATATAAAACATAAAATGTGGCTTGTGCAAAAGATATGGCACATTTTATATCTTACTTTTTTCCAATATGTGAAACTATTAGAAACAAATAAGCAGAAACTGTGCATTGAAATTTGCAGAAAAATGCCATATTTAGGATTGGTCCCTAGACAACATGAGAGGATGTGTGAACTTATTTTCACTTAGAAAATCAACAAAACATGTACTTTGACTGGGGATGTTCAAAATTTTGCATATGAGTGTATATTATACAGTATTTAATATGACATTCTACAATGTTTCTTGTATATAATATGATTATACTCTATATACTATATTTAATGAATGTTTTATGATTTATGCAGATTAGTTACTGTTACATTATTGTTTTAACTTTTTTTCTGCTCATGTTTCTGTGTACGTGTTATTTTTTCTAATACTTTTTCTAAAAAGGCTGTTCACAGGTCATGACTGCACTGTGTGGTCAGTGTGTAAAGGGTCACTGAGAGCTCTGAACTGTATAAGTAAAGACTTCCATCCTTACATTCCACAGCAGGACAGCTCCTCTTACCATGTGGAGGGATTTTACAGAATTTCTCTTTGCAGAATTCCTCTATTTGCTCTTTCAGCTCAGAGAGAGATCTCCTCACTCCATCAAATGAGAGGTGTTGATGGACAGTGATGCTGGGTGAGTCCTCAGATCCAGAAGAGACACAGAGAGACTGGAAACTCTACAGAGAGAACAAACACAGTGGAGAAAGATAAAGGAGTACAAGAGAAATGAAGGAGCTCCAATCAGACTAAAGACAGAGTTAATGAACTTTTGCTGAGAGGAGTTTTAGAAGCTGGATGAGGAACAGGTTCCTCTGTAGATCAGTGATTGTTACCTGGAGGAAATGGATGTGATCCTCTGTGTGTGAAAGCTGCTCCAGCTCAGTGTGTCTCCTCTTTAGATCAGCGATCTCCTGCTCCAGTTTCTCCAGGAGTTCTTCAGCTCCACTCAGTTCAGTCTTCTCCTGAGCTCTGATCAGCTCTGTTACCTCAGAGCGCTTTTTCTCAATGGAGCGGATCAGTTTAGTAAAGATCCTCTCACTGCCCTCCACTGCTGACTGAGCACAGCGCTGTTAGGACAAGAACACACCAGATGGAGATCCTTTTAGGAGGAACAGTTCAGCAAAAATCTATTTTACACAATTTTTCCTCAAACCACATCAAGTTCTGCAGTGCTGTTAAACTGTCTTGCACATAAACCCACTCACATACAAACAAATCTCAGAGATTGCTGCTGTTGCTGTTTTAGGCTCTGCATACTTTTGACCATTTTTATTGATAATTGTGTCAGAAATCACTTAATCAATTTAAATAAATTGGTGTGATTTGAGTGTGTAATGGTTAAGACATGCAGTTTTGGTAGAAGCTTCCATTACTTGTTAGCTACATTAGTCTCGTTGCTCCACTGTAAATAGAAGCTTCAGACACCAAACATGTCTTGGCTGATCAGCTAGATAAGAAACTGTGTGAATCTGATCCCAAAGTGTCCAACACTGAGCTCCTCACTGTCTGACTGGAGGAGAGCCTGACTGATGACTGAAATATCAAATCTCTGCTCAGTTCTCACCTTAAGAGTCTTCAAAGTCTGTTTCAGCTCCTGCAGCTTCTTCTGTTTCTCCTGGATTCTCTGCTGGAATTTACTCTGCATCTCCTTCAGCTGATTCTATGAACAGATATATTTTGTTTGTGATTTATGACCTACAAAGATTTGTTTTAATAGCAGCTACAGTTCTACAGAGCTTTCACACTGTTATGTGAGCACTATAAGGCTGGAAGTTGAGTGTTGGATGGTCACATGTTCACTGACTGGTCTGACCTGACCTACTGAACACTCTGACACTGAACCCCACAACATCAACATTTTTAACACATTTTTTTCTAAATCAGTCCATTGAAAGGAAGAACTGAAAGTTTAAACTTTCAAATGATTAATCAGACATTAATTTCAAATACAATTAGCATGATTTAATCCTCATAGATTTCAAGTTCTCACCTGTTGTTCAGTTCTTTCAGTTATAGGCAGGACTATATTGTGACCTTTGTGTTCCTCCATCATACACAAATAGCAGATGGAGCTTTTGTCAGTACGACAGTAGATCTCGATCAGTTTGTCGTGCTGAGAGCAGATCTTCTCCTGTAGCTGTGAGGAGGCTTTGACCAGCTTGTGCTTTTTCAAACCAGGAACTTCACAGTGAGGTTTAAGATGAGTTTCACAAAAGGAAACCAGACACGTCAGACAGGACTTGATGGCTTTGAGTTTTCTCCCAGTGCAGAAATCACACTCCACATCTCCAGGTCCAGCGTAACGGGGAGCAGGAGAAGCAGCTCGGAGTTCTGTCTTCTTCAGTTTCTCCACCACTTCAGCCAGCATGTTGTTCCTGTTTAAAACAGGCCTTGGAGTGAAAGTCTGTCTGCACTGGGGGCAGCTGTAGACCCCCCTCTGATCATCCTGATCCCAGCAGCCATTAATGCACACCTTACAGAAACTGTGTCCACAGTTGATGGCCACTGGATCCTTCAGCAGATCCAGACAGACTGGACAGCTGAACTGGTCGTGATCTACTGAAATACTGGCCATTTTCCTGCAGTTCTAGTCTGAGAGAGAGCAGCTCTCTGAGATCAGTTTAATTTACTCTGAACTGGGTAGGAGGGACTTCCTGGTTTTTTGTTGGTTAAAGTGTCATAGAGAGGGGGTGGAGAAAGAGAGAAGGAGGAGAAAAGGGAACAGTGACAGTTTATTACCTCAATAACATTTAGTAATATCAGAGAGGTTAAAATGATAACATACCATAAGTGATAATGGTTTGGACTATCTGTGCCTTCAAACACTGCAGGATCAGAGACAGAACAACTCACAATGTTCCCATGATAACACAGTATGTCATTAAAACTTTCACCAGAACACATCTGGATTTTTGGGAGGAGTCACATCATCTGCTGGTCTGTCACCTTTTAGCAGGCAGTGGATGAGGAGTGCAGCTCCAGAAGAACATAAAAGACATTTGCAGTTATCTCAGTCTGGCTGGTGTTTCCAGGTAAAAAGTGATTGTGAGACCTGATCTATCTGGAGCCACATCTTACAGTCTCACACAAAACCTTCAAAATCTTAATGCATTACAAAAAAATCTCAAGCTTAAAACTAATTTTAAAAGCATGTTAAACAATATATACGTGGATCAGACACAGCAGTGCTGCTGGAGTTTTTAAACACTGTGTCCACTCACTGTCCACTCTATCAGACACTCCTACCTTGTCAGTCCACCTTGTAGATGTAAAGTCAGAGAGGATAGCTCATCTGCTGCTGCACAGTTTGTGTTGGTCGTCCTTTAGTCCTTCATCAGTGGTCACAGGACGCTGCCCACAGGACGCTGTTGGCTGGATATTTTTGGTCGGTGGACTATTCTCAGTCCAGCAGTGACACTGAGGTGTTTTACAGCTCAGTGCAGTTATTTTACAGCTTTGGCAGTTTTGTCAGCCATTTCATTAATGTTGGCAAAATGCAATTCATTGGGATTTTCTGAAATGGTTTCTGAACTGTTCAGCTCAATTTAACTTCATTAGAAATAACACAATGTTTAGTGTTAGCTTTGATTTCACTAGAATCAGCTACAAAAAACAGATAGATAGATAGATAGATAGATAGATAGATAGATAGATAGATAGATAGATAGATAAATAAATAAATAAAAAAAAATAAAAACAGGAAAAAAATGTCACTTACCAGGTAAAATAACTGTAAACTAGCTTGCCGACGGTTGATTAGCAGCGCTCAGTCTGAGGTAAGTGTCCGTTGGTCGGCGCTCGTGCTGATTTTGAATTTGTGGTGGTTCTGTATTCCTCCGCGGCTCTGAGCCGGATCACTCCAATCGGTAACGCGCCAAATTTGAACACTCTGATTGGTCGCTGCTCATCACATTTGCGTAAAACTGGTGCGGAAGGAGAGATCAGAAAGAGGATGTGTATCAGCGGTCTGATGTGTCAGATTTGTGTACATAGTATTGCTGTCTATTACTCAATATGACACGTTCTGTTTGATATAAATTATCAGATAGATAGATAGATAGATAGATAGATTGGTGCAGGCATTTGTCCTGCTTTGTGATTTGTCACACCTCTGACTTTGGAGCTTTAGCGTTTCATTTTAGACCAAGAGGATGGACTAAGAAGCTCCACTGCAGTTCTAGAAGTTACTCAGTGCTTAAAGGGTTTTTGGACCTGCTACTTTTGTACTTCTACTCAATCTGCTTTCGTTGGAAAAGTACTTTTACTGCAGTTATTTCACTGAAGTAACAACACTTTTACTCCAGTGTGGGTTTAAGCTGCTCTACACATCTGTGGATTTATGAAGCTGTAACTCAGGCAGGGTTTCACCAACAATGATGAAGTCTTAGATCAGCTTCAGTCAAGATAAACCTCTTTCACTAAAACTAAAACCAGGATTAAAATGAAAACAGTATTTTTATTGATTTATCTTTGTATCTAAACTAAATAGAAATCTAATCAGGCTGCACCAACATATGGAGTCAGATTTAAACCCTGAGCAAGGGCTAATTCTAAACTGCCACATGTGGAGGTTTAATGTGTTAAGATGTCGGCAGAGCTTCAGAAGTTAGAGCACCAAAAGTGAATTCATCACAGAAAAATAAGAGTTGATCAGTTTTTTATTTCATTTTAGAAAACAGAGAACAGTATTTTACACTGAGTGATCAGCTAATCCAGCTCATCAGCTTCATTAGCTTCCAGTTTATTAGAGAAATGTGAGAAACATCATGATCCATTTGTGGTTTGTAGGCTGAGGAGGAATAAAAGCTCTTCTAGAGATGCTCTATGGGGTGATGTAGAATGAAGTGGAGTTTATTTCACGCTAATCTAAACTCTCACTGAACAACACATTCATCACCAGCTTCTGAAAAAAAACGCTCAGAAAATGTCTCTTTATATCAGCATGAACTCTGAAATAGACTGATGATGATTATTTCTACAAATATAGCCGTACAGAAGACTATGAGAATGGAATCCCTTATATTCTCTCAAATTACATTTTATATCAATATTTCTCAAGTTAGACAGAGTTATTCTGTCAATTATATCAACTGGATCAATACATACATGTGTCTAATATTCACTTACACATTTTAAAGAAATCTCAAGATACAAACATACATATTCACTGTAAACCCATAATGTGATTTAAGTCTCAAAGTGTTTTTGTATATTCTGTATATTTTAGAGCTCTTTCTAGTAGAGTTATGTGATCTGCACTGTTCTGTTGTTGCTGCTGTGACTCTGCAGTTTCCTTCTGGATTAATAAACTTTCTGTTTCGGTCTGTTTTATACAGTTAAATATAAAACATAGAAGCTAATATTACTCATATTAATCATTTTAAACACAGCTCTTGTGGGAGTTTATTAAGATCAAAGCAGTTGATTTAAAGTGAAATATTATTCTTAGTGTTGTATTTATTCCAGTTAATATTTCAGCTCAGTTCAGTCGTTCTGTAAGCAGTTAAACTCAGTGTTTAAGATGTGGTTTAGAACCTGCTGGAGTTCTGCACTCTTAACTGAGAAACTATTTATGGCATAGCTCTGAAATTCTGTATGAATTAAATGGAGGATCTGTTTGATTTTTCCACGTATGTCTATGTGTGACCTGCCAGGCTCTCTGTGAGCTGGAGTGAAACGACTCATTCACACCCTAATCTAATGGTTTCATTTTCCATCAGCTGTGTTACTGAAACACTTCTGGCTCTTTATCTGAACCAGCAAAGAGGCTGAGTGAAGGAGAGTCAAACATGCAGGAATAATAAAGTTAATGTGATGACCTGAAAAATAAATGTGGGTCAACTTTTGTTACAGTTGATCAACAACAGATTTTTTTTATCTGCAATATTCAATAGACACATTATCTTTTATTACATAACCTCACAGTTCCTTTAACATAGAACCCAGCGTAGAGTGGCTGAGTGAATGTGGTGTGGACTGTGTGTAGGAGGGTCATTGTGTCAGAGACGCTGTAGAAGGACAGAGTTCCTGCACTGTGATCCACATACACTCCTATTCTGGAGGATGATGGTCCTGAGATCTCAGTCTTAATGTTGTTATGTTGGAAAGTGAGAGAGGGAGAACACTGCAGACTCCAGGACTGATTGTTGCGTCCAAACCCACAATCATAATCCCATCCTTTCCTGCTGATCCTTTTATATGAGACTGCTATGAACACCCATTCTCCCTCACTGCTCCACTCAACCTCCCAGTAACAGCGTCCACTCACACTCTCCTTACACAACACCTGTAGAAAGTAGTCAAATCTCTCTGGATGGTCAGAGTATGACTGCTCTTTATTACTCCACGTCACCACTCTGTTCTTCTCAGACAGAATGAGGTATCTATATGCTGTGTTGGGGTCCAGAGTCAGCTGACAGAAATCTAAATAAAAGAAAACAAAAACAGTTTATGAATTTTTGTGAACAAAGTTTAGCAGTGTTCAAGAGAGTGAGTTTATGTGTGTGTGTGTGAGAGAGTGAGTCTGTAGTCTGTGTGTGTGAATGTGTGTGTTTGTGTGCATGTGTGTGTGTTTGTGTGTGTGTGAGTTTATGTGTGTTTGAGTGTGTGTGAGTTTATGTGTGTTTGAGTGTGTGTGAGTGTGTGTGTGTGTGAGTTTGTGTGTGTGTGTGTGTGTGTGTGAGTGAGTTTATGTGTGAGTGTGTGTGTGAGTGCGTTTGTTACTCATACACTGCAGAAAATCTTCTCTGGTTTTTGGTTCTGAGGATAAAATCTGAACTGCTGCAGCTGTGGAGACACAAACACACAACAGACCAACACAGTCAATAGAATAGAATAGAATAGAATAGAATGAGTGAGATCAATCACTGTTAGCAGGAAGAGTCTCAACAAAATGAAAATTTGGCTGGGGGTGTTCAAACTTTTGTACATGAATGTTTATTATATATAATATTACGTAACGCACTATTTTGTATGTGTAATATAACTATGCATACTTTTGTATACACTTTAATGAATACTTTATGAATTATGCAGATTGGTTACTGTTACATTATTTTTTTTTGAGATCATATGTCTAAAAATGACATTATATTACAGAAAGAGTCAAATACTGATAATGATTGCACTGTGTGGTCAGTGTGTAAAGGGTCAGTGAGAGCTCTGAACTGTATAAGTAAAGATTTCCATCCTTATGCTCCACAGCAGGACAGCTCCTCTTACCATGTGGAGGGATTTTACTGAACTCCTCTCTGCAGAACTCCTCTAGTCGCTCCTTCAGCTCTGAGAGAGATCTCCTCACTCCATCAAATGAGAGGTGTTGATGGACAGTGATGCTGGGTGAGTTCTCAGATCCAGAAGAGACACAGAGAGACTGGAAACTCTACAGAGGGAGCAAACACAGTGGAGGAAGATAAAGGAGTACGAGAGAAATGAAGGAGCTCCAATCAGACTAAAGACAGACTTGTGATCACAGACAGGTAGATTTACTGCTGCCTTAATGAACTTTTGCTGAGAGGAGTTTTAGAAGCTGCATGAGGAACAGGTTCCTCTGTAGATGAGTGATTGTTACCTGGAGGAAATGGATGTGATCCTCTGTGTGTGAAAGCTGCTCCAGCTCAGTGTGTCTCCTCTTTAGATCAGCGATCTCCTGCTCCAGTTTCTCCAGGAGTTCTTCAGCTCCACTCAGTTCAGCCTCCTCCTGAGCTCTGATCAGCTCTGTTACCTCAGAGCACTTTTTCTCAATGGAGCGGATCAGTTCAGTAAAGATCCTCTCACTGTCCTCCACTGCTGACTGAGCACAGCGCTGTTAGGACAAGAACACACCAGATGGAGATCCTTTTAAGAGGAACAGTTCAGAAAAAAGAAAAAAAAATATCTAACTTATACAGTTTCCACTCCTTATCCCAAATGGAGTCAATCATTCAAAATATATTTGGTGTTTTCAATTGTGTTACCCACTACACTATACCAACCACTATACTATATTTTTTCTATTTTTACAGATAACAGTGTGTCAATATAGTATCAGAAACCATTCAATCAAGTCTTTTAGAGACTATTGAACACAGCAGGGGAAGTGGGGGAGGTAAGGTGGTATATATATGATCCAAAAGTGTCCAACACTGAGCTCCTCACTGTCTGACTGGAGGAGAGCCTCACTGAGGACTGAAATATAAAAATCTCTGCTCAGTTCTCACCTTAAGAGTCTTCACAGCCTGTTTCAGCTCCTGCTGCTTCTTCTGTTTCTCCTGGATTCTCTGCTGGAATTTTCTCTGTATCTCCTTTAGTTGACTCTTTAAACACATACATTTTTGTCATAAATCTTTATGAATTTTAGCAAAATTTGACAAAACATTTTTTTTTATTAATGTGCTAAGGCAAACTGTAATATTAAAATGTAATTGAAATAAAGTAATGGTTTGTTGTACAGAGATTTCACACTATTATCTGAACACTCAGGTTGGAAGATGGGTGTTGTCTGGGGAACTATTCACAGAGTATTATGACTTATTTATAATGAAGTCTGATCAAGGAAGAATTTATTGAACTCTTCCATCCCCAAAGCACTGAGTACACACAATTCATGATTTGATTCCTAAAAATGTATATTTCTCACCTGTTTCTTGGTTCTTTCTGTTGCAGCTGGCACTGCATCATGGCCTTTGTGTTTATCCATTGTACACAAATAGCAGATGCAGCTTTTGTCAGTACGACAGTAGATCTCGATCAGTTTGTCGTGCTGAGAGCAGATCTTCTCCTGTAGCTGTGAGGAGGCTTTGACCAGCTTGTGCTTTTTCAAACCAGGAACTTCACAGTGAGGTTTAAGATGAGTTTCACAAAAGGAGGCCAGACACGTCAGACAGGACTTGATGGCTTTGAGTTTTCTCCCAGTGCAGAAATCACACTCCACATCTCCAGGTCCAGCATAACGGGGAGCAGGACAAGCAGCTCGGAGTTCTGTCTTCTTCAGTTTCTCCACCACTTCAGCCAGCATGTTGTTTCTGCGTAGAACAGGCCTTGGAGCGAAAGTCTCTCTGCACTGGGGGCAGCTGTAGACCCCCCTCTGATCATCCTGATCCCAGCAGCCATTAATGCACACCTTACAGAAACTGTGTCCACAGTTGATGGCCACTGGATCCTTCAGCAGATCCAGACAGACTGGACAGCTGAACTGGTCATGATCTACTGAAATACTGGCCATTTTCCTGCCCTTCTAGTCTGCGTGAGAGCAGCTCTCTGAGATCAGTTTCGCTTTTCCTGAACTGAGTAGGAGGGACTTCCTGGTTTTCTACTGGTTAGTGTGTCATAGAGAGGGGGTGGAGAAAGAGAGCAGGAGGAGAACAGAGAGGAAGAAAGAGAGAACACAACTGTTTGTTGGTGTGTGCTTGAAATGTGTTCAGGGGTAACAAGAAAGAAGTTATGAAATAAAGAAAATTAATTAATGGAATATGAACATGTTTATTAAAAAAACTGAAACAAATAAACAATAACAATAGTACAATAACAAGTTGTGCAAAGCGAATAATGTTTGGTAACTGTATCCAAGTCCAAGCACAACTTTCTAAGCCATAAAGAACATTGAATATGGCTATCCTTCAAATTAATCACTCGTTTCTCTGTAAGTCTCTAAACAGCTTATGCTGTTGTAAAACGAATGGCAAATTGGTCCAAAGGTTGACTAAGATGATATGAAAACAAAACGAGCAGACTGTTAATTGCAGTGCTTTTTTAAAGCAGCGCAGTCAAATGCTGTATTGGGCTGACACAGTGTAAACAAAGTTTTTTTTTATTATTAATAAAGCTCTATTGTATAAATATAAAATATACAATTCCTTATGTCTGTATAGATCCATATTCATCCATAATCTTGATATACAACAATTAGAAAAAAGGGAGAATATTTTCGACCGTGTGCTGTGCCTCCTCACTGTGTGCTGTGCAACATCTGGTGGTCACATGCTGGTACTACATCATAGTGTTTTATGGCAGGGATTAAATTATTTTATTTCTAAAATATTATTTTACAGTTTTGGCAGTTTTGTTTTGCCAATTTATGAATGTTGCTAAAATTTCATTCATTGGGATGAGAAATAACACAATCTTATAATAAATGATAAAATGATTTAGGAGACTCCAAACCTGTAAATCATAAATGTGGTGAAATGTAAGCTAACTTGACTAGCAGCGCTCAGTCTGAGGTAAATTTCCGTTGGTCGGCTCGCGCTGATTTTTTTCAATTTGTGGCGGTTTTGTGTGGCGGCAAATTCAGTTCAAAATTCGCAAGCGAGCAAAACCGCTCTCGCACGAGCGAAAACTGCTCTCCAGTTACTGGCGCGGAAGCAGAAGCGCTCCCTCGACTATTTTTTCTTCTATTGAGCTTGGTTATGATTGGTTACTGCTGTTTGGTGTGATTGGCTGGTTGTCATTCTTTACCTTTGTAAATTCACTATTATTATTATTATTATTATTATTATTATTATTATTTGTGTGAGCTGAACATAGCTCTGTGGTGGCTGAAGCAACTTCTTTACTCGTGTCTGCGTTATTCAGAGAAGAAAAGGAAATTTCCACAGGGCTCCGTGTACGAATGAACAAAAACGGTTGTTTATTCCAGACTGTACACGTGATGAAATAAAATTAAAACAAAACTTTCAAACCATGGTTAGGTTGTTCCAAATATAAGATGCAACACAAACCGTAACGCTAAACACGGTAAGAAAACTGTGTTGCTACCAGTATCCTCTGCAGCTCACTCCCCACTGCCTAAAACACGTCCTCCCAGCACCGTAGCAGCTTAGCTCTTAAAGTGACAGTGCACCTATTTTCTGCACATAAACAAATGGTGCCTGAAGACATTTGTATCCACATAATCAGTACAAATATCACTTCTGGCATTCTAATACTATATTAAGCAGCAGTATATACACATATGCACTTCTTCATAAAAAGTTAATTAACTATTTATATTTACACACAATGCAAAAGATGGTCTTTATGGTTTGGCTCCTACATTATTATTATTATTATTATTATTATTATTATTATTATTATTATTATTATTATTGCCCGATGCGGACCATATGTGCTTGCTATCTGGGTTCATACGCCCTTTGGAACGTTAATAAAAAGATAAATAAAATAAAGTGTCAATATAAAATTGTTGGATGACAACAAATGCAAAATAAACAAATATATGAATCAATAATTATGTGTAATCTGTGACGAAGGGCGTCAATTTTGCTTTATTATAGTGCTATAAAGAAGATGGTTTTAAAAATGCGCTAAAATTCCTTCACGGATGTGCAGTAAAAATATCGGCAGCTCCGTCTCACAAAAGGAGAAACTCTATGGTTTCCGCCTCTACTAAAAAAAAACTCTATGGTGACGCAAAGGCCGCCCACTTTCTGGTGACCACCCACCCGCGGTGTAAGCCCTTCCCACTCAGCGGTCTCCGGTCCGCAGAGATACATAGCTGGGGCTCCAATGACAAAGTTTGGCTGGTTGCTAATCACCGTCGCGGGCTGCACGCGAGTAATACCAGTACAGCTGTCGTCGTTTTAGGCTGTTTATGCTCGTGTATCGTTCAGACTGGGCGATCGTGCTTAGAAATTAAGAATACAGGCAGAGCGAGTGTAAAGTGTGTGGGTGCAGCGATCACTGGTCTCAGCTCCTTTAAGAGGGAACTGGACTCGTTACATAAGAGACAACGACCGGTGCTTCTTAACCGAGTCTCAAGAACCGGACAGAGGAGCGTTTCCGTCCAGGACTGCAGAGAGACTTCTCAGCGTGGCACTCTGGGACATGGGTGAGATTTCTTTACCCGCTCGGTTCAGCAGGTGACGGTGTTTTTGTTTTGTTTTGTTTTGTTGTGAACGGGCTTCTCACAGCAGGCGATCTAAATCAAACTAGTAGTGTTTCAGTGAGTTTTGATGCATGATAGACTACATCTGACTGCTGCCTGCCAAAGAGACCTGGACAATAATAGGAAATAGAACTTTGCTCATTCACTGTGGAAGCTGAGCCGGATTTACGAAAGTGTCTAAAAATGAAAATCTTCTTAAACGTGTTTTCTTAACTTCATTCTTAAGAAAAAGAGTTAGGGAAAGATGTTATTCCTCAATAACTTCTTAAGAATTGTCTTATTTTCTTTTCTTAACTGTTTTCTTAGGAATAGTTTTAAGAACAAGTGGTATTCTTGAAAATGTGTTCTTAAATGTTTTCTTAACCTCACACGTCTTTTATATAATTATAAGAGTTACAAGAGTTCACAAGGTGAGCATCTGAATTAATCAATTTATCTAATTCTGTCCATCCTGATCTCTTGCTTTTTGCTGTCATCCCACAATTATTATATTTTCCAAGCAGGATCCACCATAGCCTCTAGCTAATTGCTAATTTTTTAAACGTAGTTTAATGTTTTTCCCCCATTTTGCACCTCTGAGCGGATTAACCTAATCACGGAAATGACAGTCAATAAAAATTCAAAACGTATCTTGCGTCATTTATGGTATGTGGTAAAACGCAGCGTAGCCAACATAAGAAATCAATTAAGATTTTCTTAAGAGAATATTTGAGAACTTCTTAAGTATTTTTTTTTTTTAAATAATTGTATTCAAGAACATTCTTATGAACTTCTTAGTGTTTGTCTTAAGAACCTTCGGAAGTTTCTTCTTAAGAAAGTTTTCATGATTTCAGCCCCTGAATAATTATTTCACTTATGCTTATTTTTCAGTTTTCTTACATCTCTGGTCTTTTTTGTTTTTAATCTTAATCATGTTTTTTTATTTCCTCAGCTGATACGGTCTCATTAAGTTCACTAGGTTGTTTCTTCTTATTTCTCCATTTTCTCCCCAAAATATATCTAAGCTACGGTTCTTATGCTCACCAGTAATGAAATGACTGAGCATAAAATTTTGTGGCTCAAAACAGATAAAACCAAAAATATTTCAGTTTACAAGTTAAACCACATCACTTGGAAAAAAAATCAAAATCCTGGTTTCTGCATTGGCTCGCTTTTCCAGGAATATCTCAGGTGGGCCTGTGTTTCTCAGAATAATGCAGTCATAAAGAGTGAGGGACTTCTTCAGTTACAGGGTTGGAAAAGGTCTGACAGGTTTGTCCAGTTTGGATGGCTGGTGGTAGATGTAGACTGTAGATGATTTAAGAGAATAAAACATGTTTAAAGCATTGGGGAAAACCCTTTGCTTGATGGGGCAGTTCTCAAAAGATGGTTTCTTTACTGCTGATGCTGTTGATCTTACCCTGTTACTAAATTATTAATTCAGTAATGCATATTGTTCCACACTGTCAAACAAAACTGCCTTTTATTATAATAATGGTCTACTTTTTGGTCCAAAGCTCTAATATCTATACCTGTATTGGAAATGTAGTCTCTCCGTGCTTTTCATTAAATGATGTGTTTACTAAAAGTATAAATATTTTCTCTTTTATGTAAGTTATTGTCAGATCTCATTCAGAACTGATAAACAGTAATATCATGAATGCGCTTGTGGTATTTTAGGCTGTATTTTAAACTATTTTAAACTATTGCTGTGGGCATGATAACATGTTGAAATAGTTCTTTTTTTAGAGCACTTCACTCTTATAAAAGATGGTTCTTTAAGGGTTATTTAGTAAAGGCAGTGGGTCTGTATTGAACCATGAACACTCAATAAACCATTTGCATGATGAAATGATTCTTTGCATGGTGAAAACGTTCTTCAGATTGATGGAGAATGTGTTGTGTTTGGTTCTGTATAGAACCTTTTTGAAAAAGGTTCTATATAGCACTAAAACAATTCTCCTATTGCTGTGTTGGCAAGCTTGTTACAATAGAAGAACCCTTTTTCTAGGCTATAGAGAACCATATACAACCATCAATCTGAGGAAATATTTTACCATTTATCCATGCAAATAATTCTTTGGGTATTCATGGTTCTGTATAGACCCATTGTCTCTACTGAAGAACCCTTGAAGAACCATCTTTTGTAAGCATGTACAGAGTATTTAAATGGTTCCTGGTACTGGTTGGTATTGAAAGCTTTGGAATCTTTCTGATAAGACATGATGCAGTTTGAACAAGCTTATCATGATAAGCTTCAGTGAATAAAGGAAGAAAGAATCTTTGCCATGGCTCATGGTTTACATTGTTTACATATTTTATTCTTCTACTTCATTGCGAGTAGTTGCTTTTTTTGTTTTTTCTCCTTTTTGTGGCAGTAGAGTGGTAATGGTCCTCCCACATCCAAATCATTGAATTCAGCTGTTCCAATCACTTCCATGGCCACAGGTGTATTAAACCAAGCACCTAGGCATGCAGACTGCTTCTACAAACATTTGTGAAAGAATGGGTCGCTCTCAGGAGCTCAGTGAATTCCAGTGTGGTACTTTGATAGGATGCCACCTGTGCAACAAGTCCAGTCGTGAAATTTCCTCGCTACTAAATATTCCACTGTCAACTGTCAGTGGTAACCAACATGACTGTTCCAACATGACTGCACACCTGTGCACAAAGCAAGGCCCATAAAGACATGGATGAGTGAGTTTGGTGCGGAAGAACTTGACTGGGCTGCACAGAGTCCTGACCTCAACCCGATAGAACACCTTTGGGATGAATTAGAGTGGAGACTGTGAGCCAGGCCTTCTCGTCCAACATCAGTGTCTGACCTCACAAATGCGCTTCTGGAAGAATGGTCAAAAATTCCCATAAACACACTCCTAAACCTTGTGGACAGCCTTCCCAGAAGAGTTGAAGCTGTTATAGCTGCAGAGGGTGGGCCAACGTCATATTAAACCATATGGATTAAGAACGGGATCTCACTCAATTTCATATGCATGTGAAGGCAGACGAGCGAATACTTTTGGCAATATAGTGTAAGATTAAGCTATAAAACTGTAAGGAAGTCAAAGCTTGTTGCTTGCTGACAGGGTGTGACTTCACTACACAATAAACATTATGAATTCTGCCTCTCCTGGGAACTTGGCAAAGGAAAAGAATGCAAGTATGAGGGGCATAAGACCCATCATGCTGCTCTTTCATGTGAAAAAAATCATGCAGTCATGCAGAGCTTTGACTTTCTGGAAGTCCATTCATTAGAAATTTTCAAAAATGTAACCACTAAAAGGAGCATGTGCTTTCAAAACAAACTGCAATATCATAGGAGGACCTTCTCTCTGATCTTTATGAGTTTCTTATGTTGCAGCGCCGAAGACCGTGCTGATCGTTTATGCCCATCAGAGTCCAAGCTCTTTTAACGCCTCCGCGAAGGATGTGGCTGTGCAGACGCTCACTGCCCAGGGCTGTAAAGTCATTGTGTCCGACCTCTATGCCATGAACTTCTGTTCCTCAGCAACAGCGGCGGATATCAAAGGTCTGTATGGTGGTGCAGTACTATGTCAGTAAAATCAAGTGCCAGTTGGCTGTGTACTGGAATGACCAGAAGCAGCGCAGGGAAACACCTTTGCAAATATAAGATGTCCTCAGCTTATATTATTCATAAGTAATGTGCAAAAGTCAAAAGTCTTTCAAAAAAAGAATGTGTTGTGCATCACTTAATATGTCCATGTAGTTGCTTTTAAATTGGAAAAACTAAGAAGAAATTAAAGAACAATTTACAGATCATAAATATGCAGTTTGCCCAGACAATATGGACTATACGATAGTTAAATATTACAAGCAAAGGCATCAGAGTAACCTCCAGTGTTAAAAGCTCAAGACCTAGAGATTGGATTTGTGAGGGTGATTGACTGAAGCTTTTACTTCAGCATGAAACATTGTGGATTTGGAAGCTTAGGGCTACTGAATTGAATTAGGAAGTAGAGTTTGGGCCTTTACTGTAAAGCTAAAAGAACCGAATGTTAATCCTGATAATTTGTTGTGCTTTTACCTTTTCCTTTGTTTTCTTATTTGGGTTTCATATTTTGACAACTTTGTAGGTGTGTCTGTCAGTCAGCTGTGTAGGCAACTTGAATGATTGTCACCTGTTGGCCAAAAAGCTGAAATACTCCTCTTTTGTTTGAGAGATTGCTCCCCTATTAAGGCAACGGCTTCTACACATGGGTAGTTTTCTCTTATCTGCCCCAGCCTGTTTAACATTTTTGCGTAAATTTGCCCAGAGTGGACCATAAACATTGGGATATACAACCTTGTTACCAAAGAGCACCTTACTGACTCTCCAAGACATACCTGGAATAAGTCATTGGAGCACCCATAAGCTACATTTTGCAAAAAAGTTGTTTCAGTTCCGAATTTCCTTGAAATGCCAAAGTGATAAAACCAATTGGGGAGGATTCCACAACAAAGCATGGCAGGTCACATAATGCATTTCCCTGATAAAATAAATAAATAAATAAATAAATAAATAAAAGAACAATTATGCAAGACCTTTCACCTAATACATGCATGCATAAAACTGGTATTATAGAAGTGAATAATAATAATAATAATAGTAATAATAATAATAACAATAACAATAATATTAATTAATAATAAAAGTAACATGAATCAAAATCATTGCCAGAGTCCTGCATATCCACTTTGTTATACCTGTCTAGGTAACTTGAAGAACCCTGAGCACTTTCTGTACGGTGACGAGACCTTTATTGCCTGGAAGGAGGATAGACTGAGTGATGACATCAAAGAAGAGCACCGCAAGGTGGCACAAGCTGATCTCATCATCTTTCAGGTTAGATGTTTAGATAGTTCTTTCCATCATTCTTATGTGTTCTTACTGCCTCTTCTTTACTCTCACGCTATCCTGTCAACTTCCCTTAGATGGTTGCTGCCATAAGAAAACCTTGTATCTCCAAAACAACAGCTTTAAATGAGAAAGAAAGAATGTAAAGTTACTTAACGTAACTTTAGAAACTTTAAAAAATAATACTGTTCCATTTCTGTAGGTTCTTTCATCATATAATGTTTGCACAATGTAAAGGATGCTTGGTATATTCAAATGGTAAAAAAAAAAAAAAAACACAACAAAAAAAATGTTACAAGGATTATTTACAACAGCGATGATATGCATGTACGCTCATTTAACCAGCTTTATGGAAGAGGAAAAATGTATATATTTCTGGCATGAAAATACTGGATGCATTGTTACATCAGAAAAGTAATACATATAATTATTGTAATGTATTTTGCAGTTCCCACTCTACTGGTTCACTGTTCCCGCTATAATGAAAGGCTGGATGGAGAGAGTGCTCACTCGAGGATTCGCCTACACTCTGCAGAACATATATGACAATGGCATTTTTAAGGTCTGAGACATGCAACAGAAAAGTCAGATAGCTAAAGAAATATTAAGATTTTTGGAGTGTGTATCCTGTCTATTCTTTAGAGCAGTGTTTCTTACTGCCTTGCAGAGTTTTAACTATTGCCTGCTGCAACACCCGCATATGTGAAGTGGGTGTATCTAAAACTCTGCAACTCAGTGTATATTAAGGACAAAAAACTCAATTAGCTAAAGTAATATTAAGGTTCTTGGTGTGTTTATCCTCTTAAACACTTGCTTTCTATGCAGAGATAAATCGTGAAAGTAATCAAAGTGAATTTGCAGTACTTTACAGGACTACTTTTATTTATTTATTTATTTATTTGCTCACTTTGCAGGATAAAAAGGCTGTGCTGTCATTCACTACTGGAGGAATAGAGTCTATGTACCTCCCTGACGGCATCAATGGAGACATCAATGTTTTGCTTTGGCCCTTACAGGTGAAATAAACCATTTTGTGTTGAGGAAATTTCTGATCTGTTAGTTGCTAAAAGGGAATAACTTAAAAAATAACAATCAATAATAACCATAACAATGTGTCTTGATGCAGAACGGAGTTCTGCGCTTCTGTGGTTTTCAGGTTCTGGCCCCGCAGATCTTCTGGTGTGTTGGACACACTCCTCCCTCTGAGAGAACAGCTATGTTAGAGGCATGGCAGGCCAGGCTGAAAGGAATGCTGGATGAACAGCCTCTGCCCTTCGCTCCTACTAAGCTCTTTGACCTCAACTTCCAGGCAGGGTTCCGACTGCGTTCAGATATGAAAGAGGCATATGCCTCTCAACCCTATGGCCTCACCACGGGGCAGCACCTTGGTAAACCGCTCCCTCCAAACAACCAGACCAAGTCTGCTCCACATGACAAACATTAGCGGCACCCTCACAAAAGAAAGCCTAGCAGCTGAATCAAGCCTGAAGATAAGAGTTTGATGCTGAGTCATTGTGAAATAGGTCTTTACACTAATCTATGTTTACATTCACACAATTTAAGGTTAACTTCTATCCGTATCTAAAATATTTCAACCTTTGGCAGACCTGTATGTTTTCCATAGCTTTAACTTTACTATCCATTCCCCAATCATTAACAGGGCTGAAATATATATATATATATATATATATATATATATATATATATATACATAATGTATTTATAATCCATAACTTCTATGGACCTTTTCCTTTACTTTTTTCCTTCCCTGTCCCTCCATTCTTCCATGAACTGCTATTACTCTGCCATAAACTGATTTGACTCCTACCCTGTTTATTTAATTATTCATTTAACTATTAATTTATATGTTTACTTTAAGCTGAAAATACATGTTGAAATCTACAATACATCAAGTGATAGTTTCAAATTGATTTTATTTCACTAATAATTGAAAAAAGCACACATTAAACATACATTATAAAAAGCTGTCTGTACCGAACCCCACACAACAGGAGCTAATGAAACAAAATACAGTCTAACATACCTGCTGTTTCTTAGTAATGTTAGTTACATGATGCTATACCATCACTATGCTGGTTAACAGTGAACTTTCTCATGCAAGCTGTAGTTTGTTATGTGTAGGTAACAAAATAAAGCTTTAATTTCTCATCTAATCTTTTCAGGGCAGTATAGCGTCTCATACAGAGATAAACGGAGTGGGCAGTTCAGTCTATGGCTGAGCCACAGCAGTTCTGAAGTCAGCTGAGAACCATTCACAGCTCATTGGGTAGATATGTCGCTTTTTTTTTACACTGAATCTATGAAACCCTTCAGAAACTTCAGAGGACCTCGGAGTCCTGACGCTAGTCATGAACATCACCGACGCTGATTACTGACGTATTTGTGGATAGCAGTGGTTGCTAAGCAGTGATTGAAGGGTTGAGAAAAATAAGGCAGAGCTTATAAGATTTTGAGTGACCATAGTACAGTAACGGTGCTCACAGAAAACAAATTTCTTTGTCATAAAAAAATATTAATTATGAATATTCTGGGTAGGTTTGTGACACTGCGCCTCTGAGTAGACTGTCTTATCAGAACGGCACTGTTTCTCTGTCCCTCTGAAACTACCGAGGTCTGGACCTTGGTGTCCTCATAGCTAGTTACGGTCATGATCATTAAAGATGTTTGTTTGAACATTTTTGTGAGAAAAAACATCAAGTTGTAATTCTTCAATAAAGCCTAGCCTACCCTAAAATATTTGTGTTCTGAGTCATTGATTATTGTAAAGTCTTCTTAAAAACTGGCATTTAAATATCATCCTGTGAAGTGTTATGTATGCACAGTTTCATATATTGGAGTTATGTAATAAATGTAGTAGAGAGACCATGTTCTACTCTCTGGGCTCTCTCCTCTTTCTACAGTTTTGCTTTCACTCCTTGTCAGAGGTGTCAGGTCGGATTTTGTGTTTTTAGACCACATCATACGTCTTTACATGTTATTGTCACATGCACAGGCTCAAAAAGAAGGTCTGGATCAATGTTTAGATCTCAAATGCAAAATTAACACTACCGATATGATGACAATATAATAATTCACATGTCCTTCACCAAGTTTTTACTGAATCAAGACTAAGTTATCTTTGAAATCTCTTTCAAAGCACCTCCCCACAGGGCAGCACCTGTGTAAACTCACACCCTCCAACATTTAGACCAAAGCTCCTCCACGTGACCACTCAACATCAGAAAAGAAAGCCTGATGGTCCTGAGGATATCGGCATTTGTATCTGAGTTACAATGATAGACCTTTGTACATGTTCTGAAATGTGAAGATAAACTTCAGTAAGTGTGATAGATCTACTTTGTGCCTCATAGCTAATGCTGATCCCCTTTTTGTAGAACTATATCCACAAACGTGCTCTTCTAAAAAAAATACCATGTGGTCCATAGAAATTTAATACAATCTGAATAAAATGTAGTGATGTGCTCTGAGTGAACTGTTGAATATCTATGCCAGGTATTCTAGCTTGAAAATTGAAAGTGCAATCAAGTTGATGGGCTTGTATAGGATGATGGAAGGAGCAATGAAAGTATAGTAGGGGATATGGAATTGTAGAATAACTGAAATTTGAGGTAAGGACCATACCTGGAACCTTCCCTCCGTCCAGTCTAACGCCCAATAAATTCCCATCTCTGCCATCCATTTCTCATGACAAAGTTTATGCAATCCCCATCACCACTCCATGTCCTCCCCCCATTCCTCAGTCCTGCCACAGGACTACTCAGACTGAGAAGCCTACTCAGTCTGCTTTACAATGGTGTTGGTAGGAACCAGGGGTCCCAATGTCTACATAGCCGATTTATTTACTACGCAAAATAACCTGCATGTGTCTTCTCAGTTTTTATGTAATGTTGATAATGGTAACTAGTGGTAAATCCAAAATAATACTTACCTTATGTATTATTTTGCCTGGCAACGCATGAACCTCTCTACCCTGCATGCATTTTTTTCTCTCCAAACTTTTGTAACTATTTTGTGTAATCATTTTCTGCAGGGTAGCTTTTAGAGGCTTTAAACATGTCAGAATTTATGCCACTGTGAACAATTCTGACTCAGCAAGTTTCTCTAAAATGCCGCATTTTACGCAAAACTACTATGAATTACTTTTAATTACTTAATACATTTGTGTATTTATGCACCCCCTCTTTACAGAAACTGGACACAGGCCAGCTCCACCCTCTGCTCATGTGCTTTAGCTGCATGGACCAAGTCCAAGTCCAAGTTTCACCTGGTTGTTGGACGCTATTGTTGAGTGCACACCTGCAGCAGCAACACATGGTTTAATCTCTTCATTTATTCCTGTACAGTAACCAGATGTGTTGCATGTGCCAGATGTTAAGGGTGCAGCCAAAGGTAAAGGTTACAGTCAGTGAGTCTCATTGTGACAGAGACTGGCAGCCATTTGTTCAGTAGCCTCAGATCCTTTGAGTCATCCAGTGATGAGGCCTTTACTTATGAGGCAGGTCAAACCATCCAGTGCTTCTCACCCACGTCAAGGCAAGTAACTCTTCTCAAAGCATTTTACTCCTGTTCTCCACTGTGAGGGGGCCCTCTCAGCCTGGGACACTAGGAAATGGGTCAGATTACTGGGCAATTCAGATAACATTGGTTTTAGCAGCAGGCTGTTATATTCGTTTTGAATGGGCCTACAGCTGTATGCAAACCAATAGCAACTTGGTAAAATCACTGATGAACAAATACTTTTTATTTGTTAGCTGAATACTTATTACAAAATAAAATAAAATGTGGCAAAAGTTATAGTGCATTTATATACATATTAAACTGCTCTCTCATGGTTTTTTCACAGCTTTCTCATTTTCTTTTTTTCTGTCCTTTATTGTGTTTTCTCCTTAGCTCTAAAACACTAAAACACTATATTTCTAAAAAACTGGAAAATCTGTACCCTAACCACCAAGCGTTAGCACTTTGCCCTGAAATTGTGGGTTGCCAAGAAAGAGCATCCCGCTGGTTAAATCAAGGGTATCCAGTCTTATCTGCAAACATCCGGTGTGTCTGCAGGGTTTCATTCCAAACAAGCTGGAGCTCACCTGATTCCTCCAGTTTAATCAGTTTGTCTCAGTTATCAAACAACTGATCATGTGCCCTCCTGTTCTGTTGGAATGAAAAACTGCAGCTGATCTGCACATTAAAGGAATAAAAAAGAACTTCATACATCACACAGAAATAAACAGAACCATGTTTGCACTCCATGTCCAAGCGTTTCGGATTTCTTTACAGTGGTGCCGAGAGTAACCAGGGGTCGCCATGACTACAACACAAATATAAACATTTTATTTACTATCCAAAACCACCAGTGAACCTACATGTGTCTTCTGAGTTTAAATGGATTGTTGATAATGGTAAAACAGTAAAAAATCTGAAATAATAAGTTTTCTTTGGGGACTATTTTGCCTCACAGCACCCTGAATGTATCCCTCCACCATGAATGGATTTTAAGGCCACAATCCTCTTAAAGCTATTATAAAACAGTGTCTCAGACATCAGGCAGTGAATTCATAACCATTCCACCTAATAACTTTCTGTGAGGGAGCTTTTAGAGGTGGACATCTGGTTCCTATCACCACCACTGTGAACAATTCGGTAGGTTTCTCTAGAAAAGAGCATTTCACACCAAATCACTTTGAACGACTCTGCTTCTGTTTGTTTTTTTTCCATTCTCTATTTTTTTTTTTAAATTTTTTTTTGCTCCCACTGATGGTTTAAAGCTCTTATATTTGCTGTAGCTGCAGTGATTTGACCGATGGAAAATAGACAGAAAGCATCATCATTACAGATGAATCTTCTATTTTGATGGCTTTTTTGTTAGTTTTTGAAATGCATTGGTATTAGTGAGAATTCATGTACACAAATGTTCTTTTGCAACTTGCAATTACTCCTGATACCATAGCAACTACATAGTAGTCCCCAAACATCCACCTGGGATACCATAGCAACCACTTCAGAACACCCTAGTAACCACCTGGGAATTGCTTAAGCTGCACACTCATCATTTTCATCAGTAAATAAAAAACACTTTTCTAGTGTTTATTGTTTTCATTGAAGGCTGAAGAGGATGTAATGAAGAGAAATGAGGACAACACACGTGTAAGGTTTCACTGAGGTCATTTGTCGAAGCAGGACAGGGCGATGGCGAAGGCTTGCAGCGCACACAAGGGGAAATTGTAGTCCAGTGCAAAGTGATCTTCATCCACACGACCAAACTGCATCACCAACTTGTCCGCTGTGGAGACACAAGAGAGACTCTTCAGACCCCCAATATGATAAAGAGAGACCACAAAGACAGAAAGAGAGCTAAAGAGATGTGGCAGAGAGAGAGAGAGAGAGAGAGAGAGAGAGAGAGAGAAAGAGAGACAATCAGAGGAAAACATCCATCCAAACATAGACACGCTGAGAGAAAATGCTGCTGAACTGAGCTTTTAGGCCTCCAGCGTAATCAGCTTCGAATCCTCATTTTTCTGTAGTTTCTTTAATAAAGATCCCTGTTAATGATAAACACAGATATAAAGAAACAACCTGTTAAGATAAAATCCTTCACTTTGCAGTGTAGGACCCAATAATCTCATAACCTCCACTGTGTCCAGTACGATATGTTGACCAATAGTGTAACAGTTTCACTCATGGTGTAAAACTCTTTTACAGGAATTTATTCACATTCCAGATGGATGATGTGATAATTTAGTCTGATAATATAACAGTGAGTTCACTTTCAGTCCGTGCTCTACATTCTGCTGTAAGACTTTAATGTTGTGCGCTTTTTAGTGCTGGTCTGATACAGAACACTTTCTCATTGGTTCTTTCTGGAGCTGATCATTAAGATGTTGATGGACGAGTACACGACTCTTATACTCGACACTGTCAGATCTGCTCACTTTATTCTCCCACCTTTTAATGAGACTGGTGATAATATTCTCAATGTTTAAAAAAGACTGTAGAAAAGGGACACGTTGTTACTGGCCAATTTATTAGAAACACCACATTTGTTGGTGCACAGTTACAATTTCTCATTAAATCTGAGTTTGTTATTCTACAGTAATAATCCACTGTTGGCTGTGTGTTACAGTGTTTTGTATGTCTAATGTGGACTTTTAGCCTATTAAAACATAAAATCTCTTTGACAAATGGACCACCATACGACCACCACTGACCAGATATCTGCATGGTGGTCTATTCTCAGCACAGCAGAATGCATCTATAGGTGTTTCTGATGAAATGGCCAAAGACTATAGCTCTGAATGTAACCCCTCAATACAGTAAATGCCCCAGTTTTATACATAATCAGCCTCAAAATGTAAGAAATCCCCAACAATGTTATACGGTGGGACATTATAAGTTTATCAGTTTATATTACTACATTATTCCACTTTATTCCATTAGCACATTAAACAGTGAGTGGAAGAATGAGCGTGTGAGAATGATAATCAGTGCTGGTGCTGCATATCAAACTTACCTCAGCTGTGTAAACGTAAACAGGACGCCGCTTGAGGTTCTTGTCCATGCCAGGCATGACGACGGACATCTGCTGTGGTCTTCTAAATCCCAGCATCTTCTCCTGCAAGGAGAACATACGATAGGTGTCCAGTTATCTGTGGCACTGGGCAGCAGCCAATAAGAACGTACATCAACATCGTCACCATAAAACCTCGTATTTTCGAAATGCAACTTTACAAGAGAAAAAAGCTTCTTAAATTTAAATGGAAATCAATGGAACAAGTGATTTTGGAGTGTTTATGTTGCTCCTTTCATCATGAAAACACACTGAAAGTTTCAAATTCAGTAAAAAGACACAAGGTTTGGTTCTGAGAGAGACAATGTGTAACTGCATATACTCACGTAGCTGATCGCTGCGAGCTCCTTCATGCACGCCTCCGCCAGCAGAGCTTCATTGATCTCGCCAGGGTCTCTAGCGTCGTCATACAGTGTGAACTCAGTCCGCTTTTTGTTGGATCTACAGTAGAACACAGAGAACCTTTAACAACACATGATCCTGACCAGCTGAGTGAGGGTGACAGGACTGTGGAGAGCAGAGCTGCACCATATGGACAAAACACCACATTACAGCTACATTCAGCTAGATGTTGTGGTCACGATGTGCCTCATAGTATATTAGAAACTCTCAGATGTGACAAGATCAAAGAGCAGCCGACGTAGTTGTGACCAAATTTTCCTACCGTTGATGGATCTTGTGTATTTCTTGATTAATCAAAGAATCCACAAACACTAATCAGGAACATCAAGCATGCTAAGCTAAAGTACACTGGCATGTTATTGGTTTTGGAAATGTATATATATATAATATATCTATTCTACCGGGGCTTCATGTCTTGCTACCACAGATTTGAGTGCATCTGGAGCTTCAAGTTTAAAATATGTTTTCTAAATATAATTTTAAGATCCGGCCAGAGACAACAGATGACAATTAGCCTATACAGCTAACTCTGGCTCATTCACAGTATTTCTCTTCTGTTGATTAATGAGCAATGTCCCTGTTTAGGAATGAAACTGAGCGTTTCAGGATTCTGACTGGCCACAACGGCAGACATTGTATCTGACCCCCCCCCCAAAACTGACGGCTGGTTCTATCTGAAATCTGTACATACCTCAATGTTCCCACAACGCTCTCAGCCTCGTCAGGCTCGCCCACTGAGATCACATAAGAAGACGCCTTGTTCTTCTTCATCCTCCTCACCACCAACAGTAACTGCTGAGAAAGACAGACAGACAGATCAGTTAGAGCTGGACTGACCGTTAGACGGACAGCAGGGCTAATCGATATATATCGGTGCATCATATATTACTCAGCAATACATGAGAAAATGTTTCTGATATTATTATTATTGTGATGTTGGAGCTACAGACAATAATTTAACACCTTTTTTCACTGAGTGCTCACTGACGTCACATTCATCTACCTGTAAGTGTCTCTGAGCATCTGCTAAATAATGTAAAATATCTACATAAAACAATGTAAATGTTTACAGTAACTGTCTGAATTAGCTGTTGATCAATGATCCATCCTGCGTGCTAACCTGTCTTGCACTCTCTGCACTTTATATGCATGCAGTACATACAGTGTGAACATGTTTTAAAATGCAGTAAATGATCAGTAATTGGTGTCGGTATTGATGTCGGGCACAGCGAGATGTTAATTTGGTTTAATCGTTATCGTCCCAGAAATTCTACATCAGTGCATCCCTAAAGCAGACTGAAGCAGTTTGTGATGCTGTGTGTATTTCTGACTGCTCTGACCTTTGTGCCGTCCTCGATCTCCCGGAACATGTGGTAGATGGGGCCGCTCTTGTCCGTCCTATCACGCTGGATGCAGCACTGGACCATAGTTGCCCTTGAAAACACCTGCAGCGCAGATTGCTTTAGGTTGTCCACCTGGCTGCTCGTTGCTTCCTCAGCCTCATTCTTCTCCTCAGTGGTGAGTTTGGAGCCATCAGTGAAGATCTGAGTGTCCTTCTGTGGCTCATTGAAAGCCTGAGGCTGTGGGCCGGGTTCCTCAGGAACAGCGGTGATCTCCTGCTCCCCCACGCTGTTCTCCATAGTGTGATCTGTGTTGTGGTCAGCTGTGGATGGAGTCAGGGCTCCAGGTTCCACGCAGGGGTGAAGAGGCTTCACACTGACGAGCAGGCCTCCTCCATTTGGAGAAACTGACCAGCTCAAACCCTGGAGATGATCTTGTTTGTTCTTCAGGTCAGTGTTTTCTTCTTTTTGTCTTCACTGGAAGTCTTGTTTCTCGTTCTTCTACCTCCAAAGCCCCTGCGCCGAGCTTCATCCTCCGAAATAAACCAGCTCTGTCCTGGAGTGAACATTTTTCTCAGCCTCTCCTTCTTCCACTGCTGCTGTCTGTCCATGTGCTCCTGCCTGGCCTTCTGCATCTCCAGTTCCCTTTTTCTACAATCTTTCTCCTCTTTCTGCTTCACAGGTTCCTGGAGCAGATCTTCATATTTCTGCTTCTCAGGTTCCTGAAGCACATCTTTGTATTTATGCTTCTCAGGTTCTTGAAGCACATCTTCATTTCTCTGCTTCACAGTTTCCTGGAGCAGATCTTCTTCTCTCTGCTTCACAGGTTCCTGGAGCAGATCTTCTTCTCTCTGCTTCACAGTTTCCTGGAGCAGATCTTCTTCTCTCTGCTTCACAGGTTCCTGGAGCAGATCTTCTTCTCTCTGCTTCACAGGTTCCTCAAGCTCCCTCTCCATCTCTTTCTGTTGTTTCTCCTTCTGCTTCTCCAGCATCCTCTCCTTTCTTATGGAACTGGCAGATAATTCCAGTTCCAGATCTTTCTGTTCCATTTTCTTTCTGTTGATAGATGCATCTCTCTCATCTTTCAGGCTTATCTCTGTTTCTGTCTCCTTTTCCTCCATCCTCCTTTTCTCTCTCTCCACTTCTTCTTGTTCTGCTATGTTCTGCTGCAGTTTTTCAAACTCATTCTGTCTTTCTTTTTCTTTCTTGTCTATCAGTTTCTCTTCTTTCTTTCTCTCCTTCTCTATCATTCCTCTCATTTCATCCTCTCTGGTTCTTCCCATCTCCAGATACCTCCGATCCCACTCTTCCTCCTGCTTCTTCATCATTTCTCTCCACTCCTCTTCCCGTCTGTTAGCTGATACTCTTTCCTCCATCATCCGTTTCTCCATCTCTCTCAGACGGTTTTCCGCCTGCCTCTGTTGTTCCTCTTGCTCTCTTTCGAGCTTTGTCTGTTTCTCTCCTTCCATCTTGCTCTCTTTCAGCCAAGCCTGAAACTTCTTCTCCAGCTGTTTCTGTTTCTTCTTCATCTTTTTCTCCATCTCTCATTTTTCTTCTTCTCTGTTTCTCTCCATCTCTTCTAGCATGGCCATCTCTCGTACTTTTGCCGCATTCTTCTCCATCTCCAGCTGGGCCTCCATTTTTCTTTGTGTCTGCTCCAGTTTCTCCAACTTCTCCTGCTTCCTCTTCATGTCCATCTCTCTCTCTTTCTCCCTCAGTCATTCCATCTCTCTCCGTCTATCTTCCTCTCTCTGCTGTTCTTCCTTTGACAGTCTCTCCTTCATCTCATCCAGCTCTTTCTCCAGTTCCATTTCTGTCTCTCTCTCTATCTCTCGCTGCACTCCAAACTCTGGAAGCCATTCCTGCTCTCTGCTCTTCTCAATGGAGGCCATTTTCTGCTTCAACTCCTCCAGCTCTCTCTCCAGTGCCTCCTCCCTCTCTCTCCATCTCAGATCTTCCATCTGTTTCTCTTTCTGGATTCTCTGAAGGAGGAGCAAGCTTTCTCTCTCCACGTCTGTTTTTTTCCCTTCTCTCTGAGCTCTCCTGAATACTTTCCTCCTCATGTTCTTTACCTCCTGTTCCAGCTCCTCCTCTCGCTCTTTGCACTGCAGAATCTCAGCAGCGTTCTGTCTCACCAACTCTTCCAAGCTTCTGATGTCTCTGTCCTTCTGAACATCTCCAGTTTCCAGCATCAGCCGAACATCCCTGATCTGGAGCTCAATCACCTTCTCCTGCAGGTTTCCCTGCGTCTCCATGTAGGAATGGGAGGTACGCAGGCCTTTCTGTACAGCTCCTGTCCAGGGTTGCTGCAGAGCGTCCATCTACAGCACACAGTAAACAGCAGTTTTAGGTTCACACAGTGAGACAACAGAGCACACAGTGATCATACAGCTGCATACAGTGGTGCTGTATTGCAAAATGTGATCAGATCTTTATCTGAATCGTAACATTAGATAAACTGAACCCAATAAAATGAATAACTAAAAATGATATTATTTTCTGTTGTTTATATGATATAAAACTTAGGCAGAAGTTCAGTTGATGCTAAAGGGTTTAGGAACTTGTGGTGTGATTTGGTTAAAGATTGGCCTCCGTTATTTTTACCAAAATTATTTACATTTGTTGGATCACTTGAACGTCTTTATTCGTCCAAGAACGTCTGTGATTGGTTGAGATGCACACAATGCATAATGAGACTCTCAGGGTTTGGCTACAGACTCATTAGCATATGGCAGCCTGCGATTATAGTACCACAATATTCATTATTGATCAATACATCGTGCATCCCTGAGCATTTACAGCTCTGTCCTGAAGATCAAAATTAAGATTTGCAGATCCAGAGCCTGAATGAATGAATCTGAGTGTCCAGCTTTAAAGAGTCTGATTTGACTGGTAGCCTCTCTGAATGTTCTCACTGACAGTAATGATGAAGAAGATCAGACGTCTCACCTTTCTAGTAGATCTGTGATGCTCCCTCTCCGATCTCCCGCTCTTTCTCTCCAAAGCTCTCAGCTCGCTCAGCGTCTTCAGCTCCCGCCTCTCTTCCTGGCTGACCCTCATGCGCTCCATCCACTTCTTCCACTGAGCCTTTTCTCTTCTCTCTTCCTGTTTCTCCTTCTCCCGCTGCCTCCTCCTCTTCTCCTCCAGCTTCCACTCCTCCTTGTTTAACCTCCTTATGTCCTTCTTTATCTCTTCCAGCTCTCTCCCCATCTCTCTCCTCTCTCTCTGAAGCTGGCGGAAATGCTCCTCTGCTCTTTGCTTCTCCAGGATTCGGGCGTCGAAGCAGAAGAAGGAGATTTTGGGGAGGCAGCTGCCCCAGCACCCACAGGTGGTGGGACTGGACAGGGGGCGCAGCTCTCGCCCCCACGTCATCGCCTCTGCTGCTTCACCTGAGCGTCTCCTGAAGACTCACCTGGACCAGTAATGCTGGACCTGCTCCAAAAAAAAAAGAGGGAAAACCTTAGAATGGAGAAACAAACACGACCGAAACTTCACCCAGTGTGAGAGAGAGAGAGAGAGAGAGAGAGAGAGAGAGAGAGAGAGAGAAACAGAGAAACAGAGAAACAGAGAAATAAGTGACAGAAACATTTACAGAGAAAGAAAGAGAGAAAGAGAGAGAGAGAGAGAGAGAGAGAGAGAGAGAGAGAGAGAGAGAGAAAGAAAAATGTTTTAACTCCGTTTGAAAATGTGTGAAGATGTTCTTCAGTGTTGATTCTTCCGGAATGAGGCTCTGCTACAAACACCTGCTCTCTTATACGTCACACTGCCTTGACAGCTCTATTTATGACGTCACATTCTGAGGCCCCGCCACATCAGAACACCTGCTGTCTGAAACGTTCTTCTTCATTTGTACATAATTTATGTTTTTGAATTACAGAATTCACTTCAGATGAGCAGCAGGACCTGGAACAAAGTTATATGGATGAATAAGACCAAAGTGCAGATTCTCATTCACAGTTCATACATAATTAAACAGCTGATATGCGAACAGAGTCGTTCAGAGGGGTTTGGTGTGAAACGTGTGAAATTTCTTTCAGTTAAAGTAAAATATTTATTGAGGTAAATTAATACATTTATTGAGGTATATTAATACATTTATTAGGGTAAATTAATACATTTCTCAAGGTAAATTTATGAAGTTACTGAGGTAAATTAATTCATTTATTCAATTAAATTAATACATTTAAATTAAATTAATATTAAATTGATAAATATATTGAGGCAAAAAATACATTTATTGGGTAAATAAATACATTTATTGAGGTAAATTATTACATGTATTAGTATAAATGCACTTCCATCTTATTAAGAGCTGATAATGTGTGAAGATGAAGTGCATTAAAACTGTTGTTATAAGCAGAAAACAGCGTCTAGTACAAAACAATAGCATTTTATGGTGTTTGGCTTCATTACTATATTAATGTATTAATGGCACAAACGTATTCATTACAGTTTCAATATAGAATTTTTAAATCAGTTTCTGCTGATGACACACACACACACACGTTTAAGGGCCTGTATTTAGACAATGGACAAAGATATCAGTGTTATCTTTTCTTCAGGAGACAGAGTGTGTGTTTGTGCACGGTGAGTTTAAAGTTGGACACATTCTGAGTTTTATTTTCTGAAATTTAAGCGGTGATGCAGACACTCTCCCTTTAAGTCAGGACTAAATTTGCACATTTTCTGGTTTTGGGGAGTGTCCAAATATTAATGAATTACACAAATTTTGCAGTGAAATATTTTTATACCATCATCCATTTCACAACTAGAGATTTTGAAGTTGCATAAAAACATGATTGTGCTTTGTTCTACGTCTGCGGGGGAATCTCAGAAACTACAAAATAACACTCATATTATTATAACTATTACTATTACCATTGTCAATATTAGTAGTGGCATTTCACAGCCTTTTAAATCAAGACATTTAAAATAAAAAAAAAAGATATATATTTATTTAATAATAACAAGTAAAAAATGGTTCATCTAGGCTGCACCAAATGTAAAGCAACACACTCTTATGGAGTGAGAATTCTCTTAGAATAATATAATACCCAAACGTATGCGTGTGTGTGTGTTATATACAGTACGTTGATATGTTGAAGCTTGCGCGCCATCCTGTGGTCAAACCGTGAACTGGCAAGTCCTAGAAAGACCATTAGACTCCTTATTGTAAATGCTGGACTACAGTATGAAATGATGTGGTTTGGTTGTTGCTATTTCCCACTTTATTTCCCACTTTATTTACGGAGCCTCACAAACACATTAATTCAAGAAGTCACTCAGAAACACAATATTTCTGCATTATAAGAAAGAATGTCTTATTCTACTTCTTGCAGGTTCACATTCTGACCACACGGTGGTATCCAAGCTCCATCGATGACAAATCGCCCTCAGCCCAAAACACCAGAGTTGGTCTTTCTGCACTGTTTTCTCTGATCAGCACATTAATAATTGAACTACATATTCGGTGCTGCTATTATACACTATATACAAAAAGCTTTTTTTAGTAGTGTTTGGCAAAAACTGAGCAGAGCGCCAGTGTGTCACCTGTTCAAACTACTCGCCTGTACTACACATTTCATTCTTCAGCTACTAATTTCCTTGATCAGGTACTAACGTGTTCATTCTCATTGGGGTGCGGTGCCTTTTATTTCACGCCCATGTAAACACATGGCTTAACACATGGGTAAACAACCGCTTTTTTCTTTTGGGTGGAGCGGGCAGTTGATAATGAAAAACTGCACTTTTGTCGCTGATGTGGGTGGCTCTTAAAAGAGCCTTTGTTTCTATACAAATCAGAGAAAGAGAAAAACAGATTACTTGGCCTTGACCGCCTTCTCGGTCTTCTTGGGCAGCAGGACGGCCTGAATGTTGGGCAGAACGCCACCCTGAGCGATAGTCACTCCTCCGAGCAGTTTGTTGAGCTCCTCGTCGTTACGAACGGCCAGCTGCAGATGACGAGGGATGATACGAGTCTTCTTGTTGTCGCGAGCGGCATTTCCAGCCAACTCGAGAATTTCAGCGGTCAAATACTCCAACACAGCAGCCAAGTAGACGGGAGCGCCAGCGCCGACGCGCTCGGCATAGTTGCCTTTGCGCAGGAGCCTGTGCACGCGGCCCACAGGGAACTGCAGCCCAGCGCGAGAGGAGCGAGTCTTAGCCTTGGCCCTAGCCTTCCCGCCGGTTTTGCCTCTTCCACTCATTTTGCACTTCAATCAAGCTCGTCGAACACAGCTGAAATAAACGGCCGTGGTTTCTGAACACCCTTCATATAGACAAAGCGGCTGCGTTTCTATTGGCTGAAATGCAACAGCCAATCGAATTATCGCCGTCAAACTCTAGGGCCCGCCCACCGTTCTGTCCACGTACCCCGCTTCCCTCGTGCTGCCGCCTGTGTGTGTGAGGCAGAGAGACAAAGAAGCGTATACGTGTCCTTGTTTTTCCGCCGTTGTCCTATCCCATTCCCCCTCCTATTCCCATCCATGTAATTGCAAATAGCAGCTCGTTAATTATGTTAAGAATGGAGATTTTTAGTACATCATTTAGTAATTATGACAGAAAGAATGAAAATCAAGCTCTTTGAGATGAAAATATGGGTGGCTCTTAAAAGAGCCGTTTTGGAGTGGTGGAAAAACAGGACACCAAGGTAAATCGGCGTGTTTACTTCTTCTTGGGGGCGGCCTTTTTCGCCGCCTTGGGCTTGGCTGCTTTGGGCTTGACCGCTTTGGGCTTGACCGCCTTCGCTTTCTTCGGGCTCTTGGCCGCCTTTTTCGGGGCCGCCGGCTTCTTGGCTTTCTTTGGAGACTTGGCGACTTTCTTGGCGGCCGCGGGCTTCTTGGCTTTCTTCGGCGATTTCTTGGCGGCTGCGGGCTTCTTCGCCGCAACCTTCTTAGGCTTCTTAGCAGCGGCGGGCTTTTTGGCGGCCGCCTTTTTGGCCTTTGGCGCCGCTTTCTTTGCCGGCTTCTGCTTGGGCTCGGCTTGTTTCTTGTTGAGCTTGAAGGAGCCGGAGGCGCCGGTACCTTTGGTCTGCACCAGAGTGCCCTTCGTCACGAGGCTCTTGACAGCGATCTTGACGCGAGAGTTGTTCTTCTCCACGTCGTAGCCGCCGGCAGCCAGGGCTTTCTTGAGAGCGGCGAGAGACACGCCGCTCCTCTCCTTAGACTGCGAAACAGCCTTGACGATGAGTTCGCCGACGCTGGGGCCGGCTTTCTTGGGCCGGGCGGCACTTTTCTTCTTGGGAGCTTTGGCCGGTGCGGCGGCGGCCGGAGCGGGAGCCACTTCTGCCATCGTTATGCTTTTGCTGCGAGCGGAGCGAGAATGAGCGCGAACTGCACTGTTCAGAAGAACCTCCCTCTCAGGCGAGGGGCCGGACCTTAAAAGCCACATGCGAACGGTGTAGACTCAACCCGGCGGGCACTGTGCAGCCGTGCCTCAGTGACGCGCTCGTACTTGTGTTTTCTCGTGGCATTTAGCAGCCAAAATAAGAGCGAAAGCGTAACTTGGCGAGCGTCCAACGGCTCGGTCTTATAGGAGAGACTCTGCTGTGTTTCCTCAGTCCGGGATTGAGCGCGCAACGACGCCTCGTTTCGCAGGGCGCTCTCAAAAGGGCGCCGCACGACAGCCGCTTCGAACGAGATGTGGTGTATTTAGCGCAATAATCTGTGAAAAAAGGTGGAAAACAGCGGCGTGAGCCCCCGAAGAGCTCAACGCCGCGTTCGGGGAGAGCCTCGGCGAGGGCCTGAGGGAACTCCCAATGGCCGAGCACCCCGCTGATTATGGGTAAAACGAGCTTTCTTGCAGCGAGTAAAGCACACGCGTAAGCCGGCGGCCACTGGGGGCAGAGACTGCTCTATGCTGATGTGCTGTTAAATAAATAAACTTTGACTTTACTAGTGAGATATAATCACTAACTCGTTCTAACCATAATTAGCTTTACCCGAACTTCTCTGTAACTAAACCCCTTCTAATCCAACTAGAAAATGAAGTCATCACAAACCTAGTGGGAACTAGCTGTGAAATACTCCGACTACATCATGAGCCTAAGGCCTAGTTCCAAACCAACTTTTAGTCATTCTAAATTATTCACAAGCTTAATGACATTCCAAATATCCCTCTTCACTCACCCAAACTTCATCATAAGCCTGAGGTCTTGCCCAAATCTTTCTATTATAGGCCCAAGTTTTAACTGTAGACATGCTTTTGCTTACTATGACCTCAGCAACAAAGGTCCTTGAATCTGCTTTCACTTTATCTAACTTCACCATAAACCCAAGGCCTATCTCAGTTCACTCACTCTTACTCCATCACAAACCTGATGCTCTGCCCTAAGCTTACCTTGACATTCTTTAACTGTAGCACTGTAGCTGCTGTTACTCACCCTAACTTTACCACAAGCCTAGGGCACAGCTCTAAACCTACCATCACTCACTCAATCTACATTATACGCCTTAGGCCTAGCAGGAAAGCTCATATTGCTCATTCTTACCTCGTCAGAAGCTAAAGGCCTTGCCCTTCACTGGCTTTTACATCTTTAATTTCTTAGTAAACCTAAGGCCTAGCTCTATAGCTACTCTTTCTGATTCTATTTTATATTATAAGCCTGAGGCCAAGCTGAAAGGTTAGTTTTGCTGACACTAACTTTGTCATAAGCCTAAGACTTAAAATATATAAAATAATGAAAGTAACCTAGGACCTAAAGAACCTATAGAGGTTTGTGCTTTATTCTAACTTCCTCATGAACCTTAGGCCTTGCATTGAAGCCATTGTTATTTATTTTACAACAGTAAAGGCACAAGGCTATATGCCTCCTTTCGCTTACGCTAACTTCATAATAAGCCAAAATCAATCGATAAAAATAAATAAATAAATAAATAAACAAATAAATAAATACTTTCCAACTGATTACATCAGGAGCCCCATACCTAACTAGAAACGTATTTACCTGCTTTCACTTACTTTGACCTCATCATGTGCCTGGGGCCTAGATGTGAGCCTACACATGCTCACTGTAAACACTTCCAAAGCTTGAAGCCGAGCCCCATACCAACTACTGCTTTATCTAACTTCATCATAAGCCTGGGGCCTAGCTCTGAATCTACTCCTACATACACTCCAACTACGATATAAGCCTGAGGCCTAGCTGGAAGCCTCCTTTTCTTTGTTACCACTTTCATTTCTCCAACTTCATCATAAGTCTAATTGCATGCTATCGATGTCTTTTCACTCACTAACTCTAGCACAATATCCACTGTTACTTACTCTAGCTGTGAGAATGGGTAAATAACAGCAGCTAGAGAGCTAGGCCTTAGAGAATTACTATTCAATCTAACTTCTTCATAAGCACAAGGCTTTGCTCTAAACTGATTATGTGTTCGACTACATTAGATGCCAGATGCCTAGCTGTGAGGATCATGTTGCTTATCTAACTACATCTGGGGAAGTAAGCCACCCTTTGCTTTTTCTAACATTATCATGAGCATGCGGCCTTAACCTGTACCTACTTTTACTTTCTCATCAGAACTTCATCATTGGTCTAATAGCTTGCCCTCTACCTCTGTTCATTAATGCTAACTACATCAGGAGCCAAAGCCCTTGCCATTAACCTGTTTCTAAATACTTGCACATCAGCATAAGCCTGGGGCCTAGATTGAAGCCCATTTTGGTTTACTCTGACTTCATCATACGCCTATGTCCTTGTCCTAATCTCATTTCTGCTTTCTCTAATCTCATGTCCCCATGGTCTAGCTCTAAGTACACAATATGCCTAAGGTTTAGCCCTGCACCTGTTATTACACACTATAACCTCAATAGAAGTCTGAGGCCCAGCTATAAGCCTCCTTTTGCTCACTCTAACTTCATCAGATGTCTAACCAATAACCAATAACTTGCTCACAGTAACGTCCTCCTTAGCCTGAGGCCTAGCTCTACATCACAGAGCCAAGGTTTGGCTTCTAACCTACTTTTACTTACTCTCATTTCATCATACGTCTCTGGCCTAGCTGTAAACTTGTACTCACTCTAACTTTAACATGACACTAAGGCCTGGCCGTAAAACCTAATTTTACTTACACATCAATTTACTCAATTCATCACAAACCTACAGTCTATCTATAAACACACTTTTACTTTGTCTAAACACAACAGAAGCCTGGGGCCTTGCTATGTACCTGTTCATACTTCCTGGAGCGTCATCATAAGCCTAAAACCTAGCTCCAACGTTACTTTGACTCATTCTAACTTCTTCATTAACCTGATGCCCAGATGTAGAACTACTTTTATTACAGTCTAACAATATCACACGTCTAAATCCATGCTTTAGTCCTAAAGCCTAGCTCAGGGTTTTTAATTGTGCTTTGGACAACAGACCACACTAGAGCGTATTCCAACTATTCCCTGCCCCACCACACCTGATCCAGTTCATAATCACTTGATGAGCTGAATCAGGTATGCTGAGTCAAGGAACTGCTACTGGGAGAGAAAAATAAACAACACGTTTCAGCACTGAGTAGAGTTAAACGATGCTCTAAATTCACCAGCATAAGAACTGGACATGCACACTAACCTTAAGCATAAATACACATACACACACACAAAGAGAGCATGAAAATGATCTGTAGATGAACATCTCTAATTGTTAATACAAATATGCATATGTGCACACAATGACTTGCATTCATAAATTCACATGTGCACTTGAAGGAAGAAAGGCAAAAAAAAAAATAAAATTGAGCAACGTTTTTCTCATAAAAAGGGACTTCCCTTTCACATCACATCCTCATGTATTGTTACTACTTTTAGTTATATCATATTTGCTACATTTAAATAAAAAATACATATGTGAACACCTTTATATAGACTAAAGTTTTTTTGTTGTTTATACATATAAACTCACCTCATGTACACATAACATTTGCTCCATTTTATCACAGTGTACCATTATCCACACAATAGGGGAACTATGGGCAGACTAAGAAACTCCTCAGGAATCGTCACATCATAGCACTTAGGAGAGCTAGCAGTTCGCTAGAAAACTCACTCTTTCGGACTGAAACGCTTATGTGGCTCTTAAAAGAGCCTTTGGGGGGTTTTTTGGCAACTTGTAAGCGCTCCGTTTAATTTAGGCGCGCTCTCCGCGGATACGGCGGGCCAGCTGGATGTCCTTAGGCATGATGGTGACTCTCTTGGCGTGGATGGCGCACAGATTAGTGTCCTCGAACAGACCCACCAAGTACGCCTCGCTAGCCTCCTGCAGGGCCATGACGGCAGAACTCTGGAAGCGGAGATCGGTCTTGAAGTCCTGAGCGATCTCCCGCACCAGGCGCTGGAAGGGCAACTTGCGGATGAGCAGCTCTGTGGATTTCTGGTAACGGCGGATCTCCCTGAGAGCCACGGTACCGGGCCTGTAACGGTGAGGTTTCTTAACGCCGCCTGTAGCCGGAGCGCTTTTACGCGCAGCCTTGGTCGCCAGCTGCTTCCTCGGGGCTTTGCCACCGGTGGACTTACGCGCGGTCTGCTTGGTTCTTGCCATGCCGTCAGACTCTAATCTTCTCTGCAAAGGAAAAAAGAATGACCTCGCGCGCGCACCTCCGCTCTTTTATGCATTCGAGCTGCTCTCCGCCCACTGGGCGTCTTGAATGTGCTCGCCTCCCATTGGACGGCAGTCCACGCCTCAGTCTAACGCTATTGGGCGTCTTCTGTCGCGCCAACATTTTCAAAACACAAGACACCGCCCCAACGCCGTGGCGGGCTTCTGCATCACAGGCAAACTAATAAGCATGATTTATTTTTTTCTTCCTTGTAAGTGGTGTGTAACGTTATTCTGATTTTTGCTTCGTTCTTTATTACACCGCTGTTATTTCACCTTAACCCGCGCCATTACACAGACGTTCCTGTGTGTTTCTATTCACCACATGTGTTAGAATACAATAGGAACTTCAAAACCTTTTTTCAGTATAGAACGGCGGGACATGTGGAGATGTTTTGCCTTTTGTTTCACTCTAATGCACAATCACCGATCGATCAACGGCCGCCTTTCTTTTTGGTGGCATAAAGGAAAGAAAAACTGCACTCTTGTCGCTGAGGTGGGTGGCTCTTAAAAGAGCCGTTGGTTATATACAAATCAAAAGAGAAAAGCAGGTTACTTGGCCTTGACCGCCTTCTCGGTCTTCTTGGGCAGCAGGACGGCCTGAATGTTGGGCAGAACGCCACCCTGAGCGATGGTGACTCCTCCGAGCAGTTTGTTGAGCTCCTCGTCGTTACGAACGGCCAGCTGCAGGTGACGAGGGATAATACGGGTCTTCTTGTTGTCGCGAGCGGCGTTACCAGCCAACTCGAGGATCTCAGCGGTCAGATACTCCAGCACGGCAGCCAAGTAGACGGGAGCGCCAGCGCCGACGCGCTCGGCATAGTTGCCTTTGCGCAGAAGCCTGTGCACACGTCCCACAGGGAACTGCAGGCCTGCGCGGGAGGAGCGAGTCTTAGCTTTGGCCCTAGCTTTACCGCCGGTCTTGCCTCGTCCACTCATTTTGCCTTTAAAACCGTGTTTGTCGAACTAAGCTGAAATGAAGGGCGCTGGTCGCCGAACGCCCTTCATATAGGCAAAGCGGCTGCGTTTCTATTGGCTGAAATGCGACGGCCTCCAACAACCAATCCCATTAGCGCCGTCAAACTCTAGGGTCCGCCCGCTGTTCTTCACCAAGCCCCCCCGCCCGGCGCCGCCCCTTCGTATGTGAGTGAGGACGAAGACAAAGAGGGAAAGAAATAAAGAAACGCTTCCTACCCCATTCCCGCTCCTGTTTTCATCCATCTAAATGCAAAACTCGATTATTATGTGGAGCCCGGGGCTTTCCCATAATTTCACTTCTGATTAGTAATGACTTTCTATGTGCAGTGGCAAGAAAAACCGAACTCCTCCTGTTAACCTTGGATCCAAACTTAAACTTACTAACTACAGCATACCTCTGCAGGATATGTACCATAACCTTTTCAATTATTATCCACTTATTACACACGCAAGTATCTGTGTGCATGTTCATATTCGTTCATATACAGAAGACCAAAAAAGTGCCCCTTACCCAAACAAAAAAGAGAAACTACGTGCAAAGAAATTGCGCGGGAAAGTACGCAAGAACCTTATTTAACATTTCCCCCATGCACCCCCCGCCTTCAAACAAATCGCGCTTTCATTGTCATGCACAACACACACAAAAAGAAAACAATTGAAAGAAAAAAAAAAAATAAAAAAAGCCCTTCAAGCGAAACTGTGGGTGGCTCTTAAAAGAGCCGTTCGGTTTGATGGAGTCTTGGTCACTTCTTACTTGGAGCTGGTGTACTTGGTGACGGCCTTGGTGCCCTCGGACACGGCGTGCTTAGCCAGCTCACCGGGAAGAAGCAGGCGCACGGCGGTCTGGATCTCCCTGGAGGTGATGGTGGACCGTTTGTTGTAATGAGCCAAACGGGACGACTCGCCGGCGATGCGCTCGAAAATGTCGTTGACGAACGAGTTCATGATGCCCATCGCCTTGGAGGAAATGCCGGTGTCGGGGTGGACCTGCTTCAGCACCTTGTACACGTAAATGGCATAACTCTCCTTCCTGGACTTTCTGCGCTTCTTACCTCCCTTACCAGCCGTTTTGGTCACGGCTTTCTTGGAGCCCTTCTTCGGCGCGGACTTCGCAGGCTCGGGCATTGCTTTCTTCTTCCGACAAAAACTGAAGAATGAAGAAGGCCGCTCGGGGACGGCTTATTTAGACTCCGATATTCAAATAGACAAAGCTCCGCCTTCACAATGCTGTCAAACGATCATTGGACAGCAATCAAAGGCTGCTTTTGCGGACAACTCCCAGCTCTCGCCCAATCCCCCCCTCCTCTTCCTCTTCCTCTTCCTCCCCCTTCCCGCACCAGCTAAAGACTTTTCCTTTGTTCACCTTCCCGCGCATTCTTAGTTACCGTGTGTCCTGTACGATAGATGTGTGCCTGTCAGGCTTGTTTTGTGTTGTTTTTTTTTTCCCCTTCCACATGTACACACACGCACGTGAGCTAAACACTCATTAACTCACACAGGTGCATAAAACGATAACACTTGTGGGACCCGTGAAGCTAGTTGAAATATTCTCCCCTCCTCTCTTCTGTTGTTCGAGCGTTAGACTAAGATGACGCTATCCGTCTTTAAAAGGTAACTCTCATAAACTCATGAAAGCGCATTAAAAAAAATGGCCCAATTTTTAAACCCTTTCAGGCGCGTTCAAACTCCTTTATAACGCTGGTATAATAATAAGATTCTCCCAAACTCCCTCTTCATTTGTGCTGGCATCAGACTAACAAAACTGTCGTTAAAAAATAAAAACAGCAACAATAATAATAATAATAATAATAATAAGGGTATATCTACATACATAGCACGCAATCACAATAGAAATTTTGATACGATGACATCCGCTAAAGAGATCATACAAAGCAGCTCTTTTGGTGGGTGTGTGGGGGGCTCT